TACTCCTCCTCCTCCTCCTCTCCTCCACACCTCCCGCTACTCCTACTACTCCATACTACTCCTACTAATCCCACTCCTACAACGACAACAACAACAACTACTACTATTATTATTTCTACTACTACTCCTCCTACTCCCACGCCTACTCCTACTGCCACTGCGACACACTGCTGCTGCTGCTACTGTTACTGCTCCGGCTCCTGCTCCTGTTCCTGTTCCTCCTTCTGCTCCTACTACTCCTGCTGCTCCTGCTGCTACGACTGCTCCACCTACGACCAATTGTAATCATAATCCCAATAATCATCCGGAGAAAACAATGAACATAATTCTGTAGTAATACTAAATTAAAATGACTAATTGTTTAAGCTACCAGCGCTACTGAAACTAAAAGCATTTTATGTCTCCGACGATGCGATCGAGAAATTAGGCAAGGGAAACATCAACACCAACCAATCCCAGAAGTGCCTTCTACCTTCGAGGCAATCCCAGGTCAATTAGATTGAACCAGTGCGCGGCAAACTCGCAGCGGGTGGAAGAGCGTTGACGGAGTATAGTGATAGCAAGACACTGGGCTTCTCAGCTGTTGCCAGGCACACAGAAAGGTCGTGTTGTCAAACACTTTCACACTGCAGCAAACGAGTTCTCGTGAAATCACTGCGACCTTCTGGGTGGAGATTGACAGCTGCACTAAATGTGGTCACTTTTTACCAACACTGGCAACCTAATCAACTCGGACAGCGGCAGCAGCAACCAGCACCACATGGCACAGTAATCCGCAAGACCGCATGACCGTGGCCTATAGCAATACCATCTAACCGAATCACTGTCGTTCTTCATAATGCGACGAAAATGAATCAAGTCGCATCTGTCCTACACATAGAATGCCCATCTTGCCAACCAAGTCTCCTCATTTCCTTGCCCACTCCGAACTGCAAGAATCTCAATCTCGCGCAGAAAAGACCTTAAACAAGGGCACCCCTGTACAGATAACATCAGTCTACAATATCCGAAGTGGATACACCATGTACATCCGAAATGACATCGGAATTCCTCAAAAATCATTAAATCGCAGGAGAACACCCGTGCAGCAACCCGGTGCACTCCAACAAGAAGCCACCTAAATGTGTCGGGCTTCTTGCTTCGCGGGCTTATTCTTTCGTGTAACTCGGGATGAAGGAGCGGCAACTGGGGATGGGAGAAGCAGTCTGTTTGTCCATCGTTCTCATGCACTCAGTCGGTGCGAGATCGCTCGGCTCCGGGGAGTGTGAACTTGACAGCGACTGCTGCGATCTTCGTCTGCGCAAGCTCTGAATGCTGAGTGCACTTGTTGGATGTTGTCCGTTTCGTAGACCATGCGCAGGGTGCCGCGGCACGACAGGTCGCCAGCTGCGCAGGTCTGAGACTGGAAGCACGACGGATCGCCTCCAGAAACTAGCTTCCCCACGCCTGCACTGCATCCATCCACTCCTGTCGCGAGGCTCTGAGACTCAACAAGGCTGATGCACCGCTTGTCCGTGATACTTGAATCAACATGACATGCTCCTTGGTGGTATCGTGGTTGCGGCCATGACCTGAGCGCACGGGCTGGAGGAACTCCATAACCCTCTGCGACAAGAGTTGCAACGACAAGCATCTTTGTTGCACAAACAACAATGTTGCTAAAACAGCCCTGCGACAGATCAGAGAGCATCTGAGCCCCAGCCGAGCAAATCGCGGTGCGGTGTCTATGTCGCCTAGCTCCAGGGCAGAATCGTAACCAAACTGGCAAGCCTCCAGCTTGTAGCTTTTCCTTGCAACTTGTGCCGGGTGAAAGCGAGAAATGCTGCTCTGTGCTCTTGTACAGAATCCTTAACTTGACAGGACAAGCCTCATTGCAAAATCCTCCTCCTTATAGAGCTTGAGTAGCTTCTTGGCTATACGCAGCTTCCTTGCCGAACTTCTGCTTGAGTACAATAGTGCAGAGAGTTCTCCCATCCGAAGTCTTCTCTTGTCACTCGCAGAATGCAAGCGCATGGAACATTTGTTGCAGCTGCAGCGAAACTGCCAGTTGTCCTGCAACATCTGCTGCCGCACTTGTCGAGGCTCTCGAATGTCAATATAAGAAATGCATAGCTCCTCGCCTTCACTAATGGCCGTCTGCGCATAAATCTCCATTTGCTGGTCACGCTCGTTCCAACTATAGTCGCAGTTTGCATTACAAGAGTGGTTTAGGCGACTTAAGTTCAAGCAGACTGCCTTTGTATTGGAGCTGCGACCGGTTGCTTCACACTCTATGCCATTTGTCTCGATAATGCCACGGAGTGTCTTGCGACCCCTGGAAGACCACGCGTCTTCCAAACTCATGATCTCCTCTTTCACTGTTGAGGGCATCCGCTGAAATTCTTCCTTCACCTTCTGCATGCTCTGGCTGGAGTCTGTCTCGAATGTCAGCTGAGGTGTCTCAGCAAATACCAGATCACCAGCCTCTAGGCTGAGTTTTGCGATGATACCGAGTCCCTTTCCATCGACCTCCTCGATGCAATACCTGGACACGGACATGAGCTTTCGTGCTGCTATGTCGCCAAGCAAGCCACCGGAAGGAATCCCTGGCCTTCGTTCTTCTTCCAGCTCTGTCGCTCTGGGTCCAGCACTCAGTAGATGCTTTCTGCCAGATCTCCTTGTGACAAGGAAGCCTTCCGCGGCGCATGGAAGGAGGAGGGAGAGTTTTGCAATTTCGCATGGGGAACACATCTACAACCTACAGCACATCCCTGCCTGGTGCCATCAACGCTACATGCCAGCAACCAGGCCAGTGACGCTTGCAAAGGACAGCGGGTGCAGGTCCAACGCGGGATGCGAAGTTACACCGTGTCGTTGCAGAGAGCAAGGGTTGCTTGGCCGTGCCATCTATCATTCGGCACACGGAGGGCAGAGTCACCTGACTTGGTCTACAGTCCAGTTTCTAAGCCATCAGAGCGACAAAGTCTGCAATTGGACGGTTGAAATTTGATGTCCTTCTTCGAGTGACTCAAACGCCGAGACGCACTGACTCACATGCAACGGGAGTGTATGCCGAGTTGAAGTTGCCGAGTTGTTGAATCAGAGTTCCACAGCTTGCATATGCGATTTTTCTGGCTAACGCAAAAGACTTTGGCTCTGCATTGAACTTCCTGCAGAAGATGCACGAGCCAGGGAGCTAGGGCAGTCAGGCTGACCCTCGATGGGACACACGACTGAGCGACTGCAATGCCGCTGTCAGAGGTCAGAGGATGTCAGACGTTCTCGGGCAAAATGAGCCACACTCAGCTAGTGGCAGTGTCGAGTTGAAGAACGACTACTCATATTATCGCCTACCACGTCGATTAACCTCCGCTGCATGCCTGCACAGCTGCATGAGGTCTTCCTGGCATGTGGGCACGTGCCCACACACGCTGTATCTTGCGTGCAGCTACATGCCAGCACGCAGAAGCATTGGAAATGCCGGCGCAGTGAAACAGGGCCAAGCTGTCCGCTAAGAGCTTCCTCGGCACCACCACCCTGCCGGACAGAGAGATGCACGCCAGCTTGCACGCTTTAGACTTGGGTGTCACGTAGGTGGGCGATGGTGTGTCGTGTTATGCCTAACTAACTGGCGCTGGTGCAGCATCTTGTAAACACCACAACAGCATGTGCCAGTTCCCTGAGAGCTTCCACTCGCACTAAGGGTTTGAAGTTCAAAGGTTGAGTCTTTTGCCAGGCCTACGCAGCCTTCGCTGCCGCAGGCTGGCTTGGAAATCCTCGTCTTGCCCAGAAGTCTTTCTTCCAGTCCCAGGATGTTCCGTGCAAATCATCCAGCCATCCCATGGCGCCATAATTCACGTTGAACTTTTCCTGTCTTTCATTCATCAACACAGTTCTCGGACGCTCACAATCCCAAGCATGCGAATTCTCTGAGTGCAGGTGAAATGCGTGATGAAAATCGTGGTAGTTTGGCTGCGCCTCAGCCTGGCGTGGGAAGCTCGAGATCAAGCACATCATCTCGGCTCCAGTGGACAGGGCGGCAGTACGTTGAAAGAGAAGAAATCTATCCAAGGCCATCTAATGCCGCAGTGGTGTGTCTGCGTCGCCATGACTGCAAAGGCCATCCAAACCACCTCAACCCGCAAGCTCTACTGTGCAAGAGGGTGTCCACTTGATGAGAGGCTCACCAACAAACGACACAGGCTCTGAGTGCAAAACACCGGTGAAGGCATTGGTCCGAATTGCAGCTAGACCCGCTCCAAGCGGCCTGGAGCTGCACCATGCTACACCGAAACGGCCTTACGGTCTCGAGTGCCTACAGCCTTGCACTGAGATCGTGACATTAGATCTGAAACAAAGAATTCCAAGGGATGGCAGTAGATTGCAGCCAATCCCATTGGCGCCTCGCCGGCAAAACTCCATCACCGATTTGGCAGACACCACAGCAAAGTCCGTACGTACATTACCTGAATATATGTGGCTCAGCTCAAGTTAAGCCGCCGTTCCGTCATGGCATTGTGCGAAGCACAAGACGGGACTGTTAGATCCTCCAGGCAAGCTAGGGGGAATGACGTGATAAAGCGCTGAGCCAGCAACTGGTGGCAACAGAAAACAACAGTAGTCGGAAAAGGGGCCATATCACCGTGCAGACAGCCTGAATGTAAACAGAAAATGATCTCACAGGTGATTCGCTTTGTTGTCTCAACGTTTTGGGACAACGATGAACCCAAACATTTCGAGGTTTTGGGCCCTTCATGCGCTTGCTTTCGGGAAAGCAAGAAAACCAGCCAGCCTTGAATTCATGGTGTATCTTGTGGATATGCCTGCAGGATGCAATCAAGTAGGTGCAGACGATGCTGCCCGTGCATCCAAGCTGGTGTGTCGAGAATCAAGCACTGCAAGTCTGTGGGTCTGTATGTGTGCAGGATCCTGAATAGCTGGCAGATGAGACAAGTTTCGGACTGGCGCACCTGTACAAGAACTTGTTGGCATGCATTAGCCAATGGCCATAGAAGAACAGTACCTGCCAAAGGAAAGTCGAGACCAGATGGGGCCGGTGCGATCGACAATGAACGGAAGCTGTCAGCGCCTCGTTCACAATAACACCAAATCCTGGCAACGATGGTAGAGTAAGATCACAGTTGGACATTCAGCGAGTGGACACTCGTTGGGCCTATGTGAACAAACATCTCCCATGGCCCTGGTAGAACAGATGGCATGCCTCAAATGGAATGCGGAAGCAGACGTCGAGATCTTTCAGGCTTCGTCGGCTTGCTAGGTGCCACTTTGGTCCAGCAGTGGTTCGGAGGGGATTCGGGCCAATCTTCAGGCCGTCATGTGCCGGCAGACCAATGGAAACAGCAGAAACCCGAGTGTACAAACTATGATTGCTGTGAAGCTGCGTAGTCGCTGCCAAACAGGGATCAAGGCCGCCAGCAGCAATGGCAACACCTTTCAGTTCAAGACATTCCAGTCGCAGCGATTTGCAAGCATCAGCATTCCACATCCCCTCAGTGCGGACCTTCCCTCTTGTAACCAGACCCCATGAACTATTGCAGCGACAGGTGCAACGAAGCTCGTCCTTGCCAAGTTTTGCCTCACGGAGCACGAGCAGGACAACTGTAGCCGACTAGGAGCGTCTACTGGACTTGCAACGAGGCTCCAGAGAGCCGACATTGTCGGTCTGCTGGATGACCTGCCATGTGACTGCCAGAGGCAAGGAAGACGCCCAACCTCTCCAAATGGCCGGAGACACTTCAACGTCTGGATGCGATAGTCCCCCACCAACTGTGGGAACAGCTTTTCCACCTTGTATAGAAATAAAGCCTTGCAGAGGTGCTCTGGTCCTTCATTGCCAGTCTCAGCTTCACACTGCGAGCAGCAGCGTTCCATTCGTGAAATAAGTCACGACGAACATTGCCTGGTTTCAGTGATTGGCGCTCGCACGAGAAGGCGGATTTGCTTCGTCTCTAGGGCATCTCGATACAAGGCGGTTTCCATCACAAGACAAGAACTCTCTGTTGACGATGGTTGAAGGTTTGACCTGTCTAGGGTCTCGATAGATCGGGTCCAAGCCCCATCGCCACCTTCTGTTGAGGATCCTGAAACCTAGAAAGTTTCCATGTATCTGTTAATGCAAGTTCAATGATTCAATGAAATGTAGATTCCGCACCAGCACCTGATGTTGTCGGGCCGCATTCCATGAGCAAACGGGGAGAACCTGCGAGCCTTTGGTGAATCTTCAAAGATTTTCTAGCCATGAGAACCCAACACGACCTCTGCCGAACATGTCTGCTGTAGCTGCATGGTGTTATACTCTGAAGCGCATCTGGCTGTTGCCTGTAATGACAAAAGGTGTGCCGCATGGACTTGACGATGATGGGAGGGGTGACACATCGCATGTGAAGACAAGCTCAGTGCATCGCCCATAGGGCCAAGGCGACTGTTACGCCTTGTCCGGTGGGATCTACCTGATCCCGTCTCAACGGAGCATATTGCACACTGAGTAGGCATACTTGCCTAGAATGCTCAGGCGCCAGCGCTGGGTATCGCCTCAGCCGCAGAGCGAGCAAAGGCGCTGCTTGCAGGGGCAGCCCGAGCTTCGGACCAGCTTGGGCATGAAGTCTATGACAGCCAGCCTTTCAGAAGCGCTTCAACCGATTCAACTTGCCTGCTTAGCAAATGGCAGCCGGGGTGCCAAAGGCTCTCTGGTGGTGACCAGACCATGATGGCGGCAAGCAGGATGACGAGCGGGCTGGGCTCCGGGGCCTTCGACTGCCGCACAGGCTCGCAGAACCAGATGTGAAAAAAGCCCGGCCTTGCTTAGCAGCACCAGCAACATCAGCTTGGCGAACCAGCTTCCTTCCACAGCCTGCAGACTGCTTTGGCACGGCATGTGGCGGCGGCACTGCCCTCTGTGGGCAGCGAGGGCCTCCTGCACGGGCATCAGGAGCTCCTTGATGCGGCCCTCCATGAGGATGACGCAGAAGAGGCTCCCGAGCACGGTGCTGGCCGCAGCGACATTGAAGCCAAAGCTCCTGCAAGGCTGTGCCGCTCGTGTCTTTTGGCTTGCAATGCCTTGCAAGCATCCAGCAAGCATAGTCCTCCCCATCGGCAGATCCACGCGATCCACGAATCGGGGCTTTTTCACAACACTGAGCCGCATTGCAAAGCCGACGCACTCCACAACCCCCGCGAACCACAGCAGGACAGAGCGAAAGGGCTTGCCATGCCGTGTGCGATGCAAATTTGTGGAGTCAGTGTAGTCCACATATTACCTCCAAGACAGGCGGTTGCAGGGCAGCATAGGGCAGCCTGGTAGTAATTCTAAATCAAGAATAATCAAGATCTTGCTCGACGCATCTCGGGGCGAGGACGGGAGCTCTGCTCGCGGTCGTGGACTTCTTGACTTCTTGGCTCATGGCTTCGCAATCGCTCCACGCAAGGCCCAAGCGCAGGTCTTCTGCAGTTGGAACCCGCCGTTGCGGTGAGACATTCAGAGCGAAATCGAAGCTTCAGCGAGCTGCCTGCCCATGTGCGAGACCGAGATTGCAAGAGGTTCGCGTGGGACAGATCTTGTCAAGTTCGGCTGCCACACCAGATCATCAGCAGTGTCTGTTTTGCGCCAAGGGGTCGCGTCAAAAAGTCTAAGTGTCCCAATGTTGATTCTCGTGTGCAGAATCTTCTTCAAGAAGCTGCCGGCAAACTTAAAGCAAGCTGGAAGGAGCCGGATCACCATCCGATCACGAACTGTCTTAGTATATGTGTGTGTGTGTACCACTTGTCTATCTACGGACCCTCTGCCTACAATTATACTTGCGTACGCAGAAAGAAATACCCACGCCTTCATGAGACAGTCACACATCTGAATTATCTGGGAGAGAGGAAGATACACGGCACAACAGGACGAGGCGAGCCGAGCTGTGAGTTGAAATGAACTGGCATTTTCAGGAGCACAATAGCGGATGGGACCAACACGCGATGCGAGCAGATTAGAAAGACTAGACCTTGCAGTACATTGGGCAAGCAGCTAGATCCACAACGTGCTGTTCTGGAGTCTACGCTACCGATCGCAACAAAGCTCACATAAGCTTACGGCAGCATCGGCAGCTCATGTGCTGCATTCATATCAGGAGTCAGGAGTCAGTCAGGAGTGTGCAGTTGCGTGGAACAGATTGGGATCCAGCACAGCTTCATTAGCTAATGCGACGTAGAGTCCATGTGAGAGAAGTGGAGCACTGTCGAGATTCCCAGCTGTTGCAGAGAAGTGGACTTTGCTGACCAAGAAGCTGCCTTAGCCTTGCATGACATCATCGCATCTTCAGCAAAGAGTCTGAATCTCGTGGCATACAATTTAGACAATATACTGCTAATGTATTCAGACGTAACGTATGCAGGACAGACAACTTTTTGCCGGGAAACGAGGGTTCAGCGAAAGCAAGGCATCTTGCCCTCGCTGCTCAGAGAGTTCGGCACTCTTTGCCAAAATGCGGCCCTCGTGCAATACACTCAGATGGGCGGGGCGGCCCTCAGTCCGGAGTGACTGCTCACGGATCATGCCGCAGCTGCTGACACAGGCCCTCCTCTGCCATCTGACACCTTGTCGTCAAGCGCGACAAACATGAGACTCAGCTTCTGCATGTTGAATGAATATGAATGAATTCTCTGCCACCCTGCAGGTCTACTGCAGTTGGACTCAGCTGGACCCGCACCCTGCAAACGTCCCCAGCAGCCTTAATAATTTACACTAGTACCAGCAAGTGATGGAGTACACAACTCCTGTTTGTCAATCGAGCGGCACCTTCAGTGCAGCAACACATGCAGCCCGGCACAATGCGTCACGAGCGGGCAAGTCCACCTTGAGACCCTTCGAATTTTCGCAGTCAAAAGTTGCATAGTCGAACGAAGCCTACAAAGCTAAGGCGAAGCATGTCTCGCGGCATCTACACAACAAGTCGCCTTCGCAGCTTTAGCCGCCACATGCTCACCGAGTCTGTACCGTCGAAACATCGTTTGACTTGACCTGCCATAGCCTGCAACATGCGCATGTAAACACTTCATCTCCGTCAGTTGCTTTCTTCCCACCCTGCCGCCTCTCTAGGCAGCCTTCGCTGCCGTGGGCCTGCTGGGAAGGCTTCTCCTTCCCACGAAGTCCTCAAGGTCATGCAGATAAGACAAGTTGCAAGGCCAAAGCACAACCTATGGTTCGCTCAGCATCTGTATCTGGCTTCTCTGACCGGCCAAGACTCCTTCTTCCAGTCCCAAGAAGTGCCGTGCAACTCATCCAACCAGCCCATGGCTCCGTAGTTCACATTGAACTTCTCCTAAGAACAGACCAGACATCTCAGTCATAGAAAGGAATGGCCACAAGAGGAAGCGCTTGAATGCTGTGCGTGCAGCCGAGACGCATGATGAAAGTCATGAAAGTTCGGCTGCGCCTCGGCCTCACCACGCACTGAATGCTCGTTGGAGAGGCTCTGCAAATGTTACAAACCAGATCGCACCTGAAAGGAGAAGAAGTCTATCCAAGGCCACCGGATGCCACAGTGGTGTGTCTGCGTTGCCATAACTGCAAAGGCCATCCACACCACCTTGGGCACCCCACCGCAAACGTCCACACTCTGAGGTCTTCCACATGTGACAGCCGTGAAAGCCCTCAGGACTTCACACCAGTGAAGGCGTTCGTCCGTACTGCAACAAGGCCGGCTCCAAGCGGCCTAGGCACGAACCCTCGCCGGCCCAGCTTTCACCACCATGACCACAATTCGCATACATGCACTTGCTTTGTCGTGGCTATCCAACCTACGTCCCACACATCAGATCCGCTGCGAAGAACTCGACTGGGTGGCAATAGATCGCTGCCAGGCCCATGGGTGCCTCGCGACTCGACTTCTCGATGCTCGACAATCTATTTTTTGGCATTTGCTTGGCCATGCCAGTAGCACGCTGCACAATCGCAAACAGTCCAACCACGTCTGACGAAGCCACGGAGGCCTTGAACTCGTGGTGGATCTTGTGGATGTGCCTCACAACATGGACAGTCTTGCTCTGCCATGTCACGGATGAACATGGCGCACTTATACAAGCACTTGTTGGCATGGAAGAGCCAGTGCCCATAGAAGAAGAGAACCTGCCCCAGCTGATGTGGCTCATTCGTTTTGGGTGGCAAGCTATTGAGGCAAAACACGCTTCCAACCGAAGAAGGCGGTGGCTGTTAGGTGAACCGGGGAGCCGTGGACCTCTCGCTGTACCCTGTCCATCCCTATACACTAGTTGCAAGGTCCTGTTCTGTGCGTCAAGTCAGGGGAATTGCAAATTTGCTGGTCGCGCGGAAAACAAACCGAGACGGACGGCACGAAAGTAAAAGGGGAAAGCAGGAAGCACGGAGCAAACAAGGAAGCAGGTAAAGGCAAACAAGCCCAAGGTAAGAGACAGAGAAAGGAGTGGGACAGCACAAAGAACGACAAAAGAGCACAGGGAGCCAGAAGGCAGAGAGGGAGCAGGGGGACTCCGTGTGGTCCACAGCCTCAAAAAAACTCGGCCTCGCTTTGGCAAGACGCATGGGCTGAGTGCTCCGATGCTGTGCCTCGTTCACGATGACGCCGAATCCTGAACAGACATGAAGTCACAATGGGCCCACTTTGCTTGCCTCGAAGAGTGAAGTGCCTATGTGAGTGAACATCTCCCACGGACCCGGCAAAGCGGTGGTCACTCCTCGGACTTTAAAGGCCATGCTGTGTCGCAAACTGCGCCAGCAGTCAGGTACCAGATGATCCAGATGCTTGCTTAGGATACTTTTACTGTCAACTGCCTCCTTTTTCGCATCCAGTCATTAGATGGATTCGGTTCCCCTATGATGTTGAGAGCTGAGGCCAAGTTTCGCAAGCGCTGCCAGCAAGGGATCAACAAAGCCAATAGCACAGGCAGTACCTCAGAACTGTTCAATGTCAAAGAGGTGCAGGCTGTGGCAGGGTCGACATGAGCTCTGTCGACCCGGGCACCACGAAGCTCGTCGTAGCGAGGTTCTTCCTCGGATGAGCGCGGCGTGGCTCCCGAGTGAAGCGATGTCCAGAGCAGCAAGGGCTGTTGCCACAGCACGGACATTGGCGGCCTGCTGGATGACCTGCCGCACACAAATCCCTGCGAGCAGGCTAAAAGCTTGCGACGCTAATTTCTCCCGCTTCAGTATCTGGATGCGATAGTTCTCAACCAAGCGTGGGCACAAAGTCTCGACCTTCAAGCGCTGTGATTTGTGCACGAGGAAGGCCATAAAGGGGCTTCTGGGGATTGCGCCCCAAGCAGCAGGAGACCGTTGGTGAAGTAAGTCAACACGAACATCGCCTCACTGCCATCTGCTAACATCCTGAATGCTACCACATACAAAGTGTCTCCCACTGAAACATAAGACCGTTGCATACCCCTGCCAAAGTTTACTTACGGAGGCTTGCCCTCCTCAGCATCCGCTCCGTTCTTGTGTTGACGATGCCACAAAGCCTCTGAGAATCTCGCCCACAGCGCCACTGCCACTGTAACACCCTGCCCGGTGGGATCCACCTGGTACCCAGATGCACGCAGAACTTGCGAGCAAAACAGGCACCTCCAGTCTCGAATTATGATATCGCATTGTGGGATGAAACGAGACGGCAGCCTGGGGAATTGCCTGGCAGCATCACCAGTTTGAGCAGGATGGTTTGTGCGAACTCGTGAAGTGAGACATGGACCAGCTTTGGCATACTTTCCACGATGTGCATCCTCGGCTGCAAAGCTCACATGCAGTCGGCGGGTAGGTCAGGTTCTGATCCAGAAAGCTGAGGTGACGAGGTGCCAGAGGCTTTCTGGTGGTGACCAGACCATGATGGCGGCAAGCAGGATGACGAGCGGGCTGGGCTCCGGGGCCTTCGACTGCCGCACAGGCTCGCAGAACCAGATGTGAAAAAAGCCCGGCCTTGCTTAGCAGCACCAGCAACATCAGCTTGGCGAACCAGCTTCCTTCCACAGCCTGCAGACTGCTTTGGCACGGCATGTGGCGGCGGCACTGCCTCTCTGGACAGCGAGGGCCTCCTGCACGGGCATCAGGAGCTCCTTGATGCGGCCCTCCATGAGGATGATGCAGAAGAGGCTCCCGAGCACGGTGCTGGCCGCAGCGACATTGAAGCCAAAGCTCCTGCAATCGAGCTTCGAACCACCCCACAACTTCTGCCCCCTGATGCATTGGCGGGCGTGATCAGCTGCTGGCTGGCCTTCCCATCGAAGGAAATGGAAAACAGTGCTACGGGGACTGTCTAGGCCAACGTGCTATAATGATATTTTGGGCCGTGATGAGACCGACGGACAAGTGATCAAGCCATGTCAAACCCATCAAAACATCGTGCGCTGCACCCTGAGCTTCGAGCCTGGCACTTAGATCCTTGGCATCTGGACCCCTGCCAGTCAAAGGCGAGTCTCGCCCGCTTCGCTCTCAGACCTTCAGAACACTCACATGGACATGTGCGACATGCGCCTCTCTCGTCGCGCAGTGGATCCCATTGTGCCTGGGAGCTTGTCTGTTCTCTCTGCTGAATGGATTGTTATCGAAATCCACGGCCTCGCTTCCAGCAGAAACCGCACATGCGGACCACTGGATCCACCACGAGCATTTCTGGCCTTGTCAGAAACACAAGAACCGTGATTGCTTTGACAGATGGCTCGCATTTGAGTCCGATCCTAGCGCGGTTGTCCCAAAACTGCTACTGTTGGAACACAAAAACCAACTTTCAGTTCGCAGTCGCATTCCAGTCAATTCAAACGACCTTTTTGGCTACTCGGGATCCCTGTGAACAACGGTGTGCACGAAGTTGAGCTACAAAGCGCATTCGGCTGATCAAGAATATGATTCTTCCCTGCGCCGTGTGTTCTTGCAAACTCGTGCGTAGTACGTGTACTCCCGTAAGCTGCTTCTCACGGATGCCCAGCAGCAAGTGGCTGAATGTGTTGATTTCACACAGGCATGATACTCGACTTAGGAGAGGTTGCCTACCATGCTGCAACTGGCATAAAAGCAAAGTGTGAGCCCCAGGCTGTCTGCACCTCTGGTTGGACAGCTGTGGCCTCAACGACAGAAAGGTGCAGACGATGGTTCCAGCGATGATTTCTCGCGGTGATGCTGGACTCGGCGAAGAATGAGGCCACCACCACGGCCTGCTGAGTGCAACTCTTCTGGTGTGGCCCACGCGCGCTTAGTGCTGACTCCTCCCGAAAGGGTGGCGACATTGAGCAAACGATGAAAAGCGAGCGTGACATGATTGCTGACTCGCCTGGGATTCGGAGGTCTGTTTTTGAACTGGAACGCGCAACCGCAAAGCCCGGATGCCGCCGCACCTGTTCACGTGATATGCAGTCCTGCAGCGCTTCGCAAGCTTCTGAACACCACACCAATGCTGAGACAAAGACTTGCGCACGAGCCGCTGGTGACCTAATGGTAGAACAACCTCGGACTCATCTCGAAGGCCAAAACTACTCGTCAAGTCAAGATCACGCATTGTTTCCATTTGCAAGGACTTGGCGTCGTCAGATAGATTTGCGAATCGCTTGGGCAAGAGTTGAACCCTTTCCTCAGCTCATCTTACACGTGGACGAAGGCGATAGAAAGCAGAAATGCTGTTTCATGACGCTGGCTTCTGCGGGCAGCTTGGTGCCCGGGCGAGTGGGCTTGTAGAAGGGCTTCTGTCGCTCATGCTGGAGGATGTATCCTCAAATCGTGAATGTATGCCACGGTGTATTGATGCTTCTTTCCACACATTCTCAGTCTGGTCCTGCATCGCATCCGACGTCTCGGAGTCTTGGTCCTGTTGATCTCAGGATCTCTCAGGGCTTCAGATATCTTCAGATGTCAACCCTCACAACTTACCAGCCATCTCTGCAGTTTGGCTCCAGCCAAGGGATGTCACGCACCAGGGCCGCCGCCGCACCCGTTGAGCTGCTGCCTGCCAGCACATGCTCTCAGAGTCTCGGGTGTAGCAGTAGCAGCGTTTTCTTGATCACCGGAAGTGGCTACCATCAAGAAATTGGCCGATCGCATCGGCATTCTAGCCCCCTAAATCTGATACTTTGCGATGGTTCAACCTTAGTTGAGCAGGCTGATACATCACTTCTGCATTCTTTTTAGTTGTAGCGCAGCGAAGTCGGCCATTATGTTGCTACTGCTTGTTTTAAAGCGCACCTGCGGTTGCCATCGAATTCTGACACGATGCCGGAGTCCGGCTTCCTGCAGACAGCTCTCAGGACATGATATTCCAAAGCTTTTCTCAGACTGCTGTCTCCTTGTACCTGATCGCTGTCTCCTTGTATCCGCGTGGGCCAGATCCTGCCCATCAGTCCGGGATTTACAGGAATGTCCTACAAGATTACAGGATCTTGAGAGCCGCCACGCCGAAATGAGCCGAAAGCTGAAAGCCCGTTGTCCTGCGGTGCACTTTGAAGAAAGGCTGGTCGATGCTCTGAGTTCCTGCAGCAATGAATCTGCGAGTTCTCGTTCAGGTGCAAACTGGTGCAAGTGAGGAGCCACAAGAGCCGCTGCGAAGATTCAATCAAGCCTCCCTTTATTGAAACCTGTGACCGAACCACACCATGCATGTAGCATGTCGGCAGACCTCCACTCAGTTCCACGATCGCCCAGCCAAGGTGAGGTTGGTGCGCAGGGGCCTGCAAAACGTCCCAATACTCGAACGAGTTTTGCGGAAAATCCATGGTCCGGCGCCTCGACTGCCTTGTGAATAGCTGGCTGCGTGGCAGCATCGCAAGGCACCTGCAGCTGCAATGCACAGGCATGTCTCTGCTTGAATGCAACTGCCAGCCGTGAGCTTGGGCATAAGCTTTCCATGTCGTCTTCGAAGCGAACAAGCAAACACAGAGATGACATCGAACAATCACAGCAACGTCGGAATCGCGCATGGACAGTGCGGATTCGTGCGCCGGACGGCAGATTCGCGCTCGGGAAACTTCGCACACCAAACTGCCGAAACCCTGAAGCCTGAAAGCGGTATGCAGCCGAAAAGCTCTTAACCCCAGCAAGTCTATATACCCTGGGACCCAAAACCCCAAACTTCTGCACAGGTAACTGTCACCCAATGCGCATATTGGAATGCCAGCGTGAGGATCTGGCGGAAAGATTTGCGAGTCCTTTCGGCAAGATTTGAGCTCTTGCCTCAGCCACTGAGAGATGTGTCCATGCTGTTTCATGATGCTGGCTTCTCCGGGAAGCTTGGTGGCCGGGCAAGCGGGCTTGTCGAAGGGCCTGTGTCGCTCATGCTGGAGGAGGTATCCTCAAATCGAAAATGCATGCCTATTCGTTCGATGCTGTTTCGAAGCGTGCCGATGATGAAAAGGCAAAGCCGAAGGAAACACCAGACTTACAGCGCCGAATGGGCCAAAGCAGTCATATCTAGTCTGCCCGTGCCTCTCCAGACTCCGAACAACTGTGTCACGCACTAGCAAAAAGCAGCAAATCAACGGACCACGATACTTGTCTTGTCCTGCATCTCGTCTCGCGTGTCCTCACCGTCATCACGATCCTGCTGCTTTCAATATTTCAGAAATTAGATTTCTATGCATGCCGGTTCATTAGCGCAATGCGGCTCCAGCCAAGGGATGTCACGCAAACGGAGGATCGACACGTTGAGGCTACCTGCCAACGCAGCCGCATCCCGGCAAGCAGGCTGTACAGGTCCCTCGCTGCACTGGCAAGGGCCCAGTCTTCTGCCTGAGGTCATGTTCTGCGAATCAGCCGAAGCAGAGGCGCTCCTGAAAGTGCCGATGCCATGATTTCTCATCCTTGCTGAGCATAAAGACCACTGCCAAAGACGGCAAAGCGGAGGCAGACATGCCGGGGAAGCCGCTCAAGGCTTTCTGGGTAGCATCCTTGCACCAAAGTCTGCAGATGCATCCGTGTCAGTCTGCGGACGCAGGCAGAACTGCCAGAAGTCCTGTTGCACGAGAGCCCCGATTCTTGTGGTGCACTTCGAAAAACTCTCGCCGAATTGGCCGTCCGGATCCTCACATCGTGAGTTTGTGCAATGAAGGGTCTCTGCTAAACATCGCCCATGGTTGGATGGGCTGAAGCCGTCGTTTCCAGTACAAGATGAAGTCCCATGACCATGCCATGCATGCATTGCTTTGTGAGCAAAACAGATTACCGCATCTTATCTCTGTTCCGGCTGCAGCCACCGGTACAGTACAGCTTGTCAAGGCTTCTCTCGCACAGCTGATCTGAATGTTTAGTGCAGGAAGAGCAGAAAGGTCCTGAAAAGCTGCTGTGAATTTCCAATCGCTCGAAGCTGCAGGTGGACCCCTGGTGGACTCAGCCGGAGTTGCCTCTTGCTATGGATCCCGTCAGACCATCCGAAGCGCCTCAGGGGTGTCTGAGAAGTCGTCATTGTTGCTCCAAGCTATTCCATCGCGCAGTTGCATCGACCTGCAGGGAAAATAGCAAAGCAACAACGACAGCTGCCTCGCATCACGAAAGAGGCCCAAGGTGAGCAAGTTGCCTGTGGTCTGCGCAAATGCCATGCATGGCACCAGGTCCAATTCCGTTCGAGGATGTGGCTTTAGTCAGATATGTCACGCTATGTCATGGAAATGTCATGGATCATGACTGTTGTCCCAGTGACTGATTTTATCCTGCTCCCATATCTTGGGTTGTTTGCACGTGCAACCCTCGCTTGTCCACTGCGGCCAGGCCAGCACAGACTTTGGCTTCGCCCACGCTTTGCAGAGTCTGCAACTGGGCACTCAAGCAGATCAGCGGCAGCCTCGTCCGGCAGCTCTGCAGGTTGCACACCACGCTCCCAGAAAGCAATGGCTCCTACAAAAGAGGGTTGTTGCAGAGGAGACCAGGCGGCCATCAGCCGTGTGCTATATTGGAGTTTCCATCGTCTGGATTTGGCTGCTCCTTGTCGCCATCATGTGGTCCCACTCTTGCGGGTGCCTCAGCTTTCGGGCAAACCAACTCCTCGAGCAGCCAACATCGCACACCCAGCACACCACGTTGTGCCGTCCCTCTCTCCGGGTGGTGGGCCAGTTTGCGCGCCCTCGATGTCACTACACACGAGGCCCGTGTACGGTGAGAAGGGCGTGACCTGAGGCGTCGGACAGCATCGGACGAGCTGCGCCGACTCGCAAGCAGAATCATTTGATAGATCTTTGTTGGCGGTCCTGAAGTTCAACCTGGCCTCCACTGTTTCCGATACTGTTTTCACAGGGGGATTGGATGACTCGACTTGACCGTCAAGGAACTCGAATTCGCAAAAATTATATGATCCAAGACCAGAGCTGTGTGATTGTCGTAGATGTTGATCGGCACATGCCCCTTGTACCTGCGCGGCCCCATGCACTCGCGAAATCACTTTGCTGTTTAGGCACGGAACCTGGAAAGCGGCCGACAGTCAAAAGATACCCAATCGAAACAAACACCATGCTAACGACGTGTTAGCCAAAACTCCAAGAGGCCCCCTTTTGGTCGTGGCGCAGACTGCACTTGGCCGGGCACACCGCCCGAAAACTCGGTGCCGGTGCGGGGGTGCGCACTTCTGCGCCCGCCCCGAGCACCGCCCGAGCGGGCGAGTGCCGGCCGATAGTCAGACGAAGTGTCAAGTTAAACCACCACAACGGCGCGGAGGGTGGGTGCTAAAAACAGGCGATCGAGCGTCCCGCGGTCGATCGCTCGTGCTTGTTGCTACCCACACACGTGTGCTACACAACAAGCACCATGCTAGCGACGCCAAAACTCCTACTAAGGTGCATGCAGTGGCCCGTTTTGGTTGTAGCGCAGACTGCCTCGGCCGGGCACACCGCCCGAAAACTCGGTGCCGGTGCCGGGGTGCGCACTTCTGCACCCGCCCCGAGCACCGCCCGAGGAGGCGAGTGCCGGCCGATAGTCAGACGAAGTGTCAAGTTAAACCACCACAAGGGCGCGGAGGGTGGGTGCTAAAACCAGGCAATCGAGCCGCCTGCGGCGGTCGATCGCTCGTGCTTGTTCCTACCCACACACGTGTGCTACACAACAAGCACCACGCTAGCGACGTGTTAGCCAAAACTCCTACTAAGGTGCATGCAGTGGCCCTTTTTGGTTGTAGCGCAGACTGCCTCGGCCGGGCACACCGGCCCAGGAGCGTGGTCCAGAGCGTCCACGGACACGGGGAGCCTACGGGGTTGCCCTGCCATCCCATCCCACATCCACGATGCCTTGCAGAATGCCCGACTTTCCCGGACGCTGCCTCCCACCTGGCTGGGTGTCTTACTTTCCTGTCACAGGCCATCTTCGGATGCACAGGACGAGCGGCCATTGAGCCACTCTATGCCAGGGCCGCCGACACCGCCGCCGACTCCCGGGATTCCCTGTTTGTCGGCTTGCGGGCTGCTCTTCTGGCTCTGTGTCGCCTCCCAGCAGGGTCATACCTTGGCCGGGGCGTGTGGCTGGCCCGGCCTGCCCCCTTTCCTGTCCTCCACGCCGACGCCTCCTTCGTAGACGGGGATCTGCGGAAGAAGGTTGGTCACCTCGCCCCTGGGAAGCAGGCGGCAAGATGGCAGAATGGCTGTGGCTTTGTGCTGTGCATCCGCGGCCAGGCGTTCTACGACTTTGCGGTCGTCAAACCCGAGCACCTGGCGCACGGTGCCCGCGGTGCGGCGTGGGTGCGCGCAGAAGTGCGCACCCCCGCACCGGCACCGAGTTTTCGGGCGGGTTCTGTGCCTTGGACGGCTTGGTCTGCAGGCCGAGCAGAGCGAAGAAGTCGGCGACGGCGACGTGGGCGGTGTCCGCGATGGCCGCGTCCTCTAAATCACCGACGAAGTGGTCCAGGAGCACCACCAAGATGGCCCTGGTGAGCATCTGGACGGCGTCGGCCGCCCGGCTGAGGTTCCAGACGCTGGCTGCCGCCCCGAAGCACATGGCAAAGTGGAACCACAACGCGACGCCGGAGTCGGACGGCAGGAACGTGCCACAATGACCCGGGTGTCTTACCGCCCATTCCTATGCAAACACGTGTGCTACACAACAGGCAGGGTTTGATCTAGAAAGCTGTGCAGATGATTTTGGGAACGAGAAGCAACCAGGAGAGGTTCCAGAGCTGTCAGGGCCAGGGTGCACTCTGCATCTGTGCATGTGCATGGACAAAGAACGCAAGTTGGGGGTACGAATGGCTACAAAGAGCAAGTTGAGAGAAGCACTGCTGGCTCTGGACCCCGTGGCAAAGTGGCGACACTCGTTTTCCTGGCCTCTGTGGCACCGCTCCCGGAATGTCTGCACGGATCAAGGATGCCTGCACCCAAGTCGTTACGTGCCTAAGACACAGGAGTGGCAGAACCCCCATATTCGCTGACTTGGCATATCTAGGACTCCATCTTGAGAGATACCACGTGATACCACTGGACACGAGAGGAAAGGCCTGGGGCTCTCCGTTGTCGCGATGCAAGACCTGACATCGAATCTTTGGCTGAAGCATGGAACCCGAAGCAGCGGACAAGAGCTGGGGCTCTGGACTCTGGGCGTGGATCCCGACACAAGGCCCACCTGGTGCAGAAAAGAACCAATCTCAGTTTGAAGCAACGGAACTTACAGACCTCCGGCCTGGCTTGGAGCAAGGGGGTTCCCTTCAGTCTCACGATAGAAGGGGTGCGTGGTTCTGGTATGAACCTCCGCAAGACATTGCAAGACATCAGTCTTGCATGATTGCCGAACTTGCATTCCTGTCACATGGCAATTCTTGCAGTGTTGCATCGCGCTCGTGCACAGACCATGTGCGGCCACTGCTTTTTGGATGCAATACGAATTCATCTTCGTGAAAGCTCTCCAACCGCTTGATAGAGGGCCGCAAGCTCCTCTTCAGTGCGAGGTGCGCTGGAGGGCATCCTGCCACAACACGTGAGGCGCATGCGTTGTGCCGTGCTGACAGGCTGCAAATCAAATGCTTTGGCAATTCCACAACCCAGCATCTGTCCCGGAAGGCGCCATGGTCAGCATAACCTGTCAACGAGAATGTGGCAACTGTATGGCGGCTTGCCCCCTTTGAGGGAAAGCCGACCCACAGAAATCCCGCTTGGTTGCATTGAAGGTCTCGTGCAAACGTAATTACTCAAAGGTACTCAGTTCGGCGACAAAACATACGACAAGTGGTCAGGGTGAGGACATTGACGAATAGGTCGTGGAGACAAAAGGCCGCATTTCAGTCGAGGGTTAGGCCTTTGATGCCGACGTGGCTGAAGCCGGTGAAACCTTTCCTGTAGCTTCCTTCGACACGGGCGTGGTGGCACCACCTTGTGGACTCATCGGCTGATGCAGTAAGCAGAAGGCCAGCAATGTCCCGAGTTTCAGACTGTTGCCAGACACCTGTACTGTATCTTACGTGTCTCTCATGAACCATCTCATGTCAAGTGAATGGGACCAAACACAAAGCCTTATCGAAGAGCTCTTTCTTGGTGTCCTCGTCCATTTTGGAGAGGTTCGCTCGGCCTCGAGCTAGTTGATTACTAGAACTCGATATGATCTGCCGAATGCAAGTCGGCCACATTTCTTGAGCACACGGCTTCTGAGTCCCGCGAACCAAGTTTCGAACTCGCGTCGAACTTTGACCTGCGCAGTGCTGTCGGTAGCCGCTTTCTTCCTGTATTTCCTGACTGGTTTTGCCGTCCTGATTCTGCTCAAGAAGCCGCTGAATGCCTTCCACGTCGCTTTTTACGCGACGCCTGACTCTGCACTTGTTGATTCTTCATGCAGCTGCAAGGGATCTCACTGAACGAACGGCTTGATGTAGCTAAGCTTGGCACAGCTCGCCCTTCTTCTCGCCATACTGGCACATCAGCCGCTCAATCTTTGCCACCTCGCAGTAAGTTGCCAGCGAATCGAATGGATGACTCAAGTTGCGCACACTCGCTGTCAGCATAGCGAATTGGATGAATTGGGTCGACTCACTTGAATCTTGTGCTTCTTTGTTCTGTAGACGTGAAAGCACGTGCGTAGTCTACATGACTGCTGCACTGCTTGTAATCGCCCACTTGGGAAGGTGCAATGTCGGCGCTGGGTACAGAGCATGTGTCACAACGCCGTGACAACCAAGCCTTGCCTCTGCAAGTTCTTCTGGACCGTCTTCCACAGGCGCTGAATCGTCGTAGCCCGCGGCTGTCATGGCCTCGATCTTGCAACTGCTGCAGCTGCAGATATTTGCCCAAGACTTCACATGACTCTGTTCTACTTGCTGGCCTCTATCTCTGTGTTGAACAATTTGAACAATGCAACTCTGCATCTGGTACAGCTGGTACACAAGACAAGGTGCCAGCTTCGTGACTCAGTGTCAAACCCGCTCTGTCCGCAGTCTCAGCAACCTGGTCTTGACCTTTCGATGAATGCAGAAGGCGCGAGAGCTGGTGTGTTGACCGGGGCCTTGTGTGCAAAGCAACTCCTGATTGGGGTTCTGGGTTCAGCCACAGTCAACGTGTTGCACCCACTGGCGAGGTCTGTGTCCACTGGACTTTCGGAATGCAAGCACATGTCGTCTGAATTTCTCAATGATGCAGATCGCCTACATATGGTATAGTCACACGCCACCGTTGACTAAACGAGGACAGCATCCGATGCTAGGGAACAAATGGCATCTTGTGCTCTGTTGTTCACGATGTTCTGATACAGCTGAGGCTTGATTTCATGTGCTGCACCGTTTCGGCAGCTGCAAACACATGTCATCCAGTGCAGCTGCGGCGGCTCACAATCAGTTGCCCGTTCAGCACGGTACTGCTAAAAGAGATTGTATAGACATGTTGTTCCATTCAGTGTGGGGCTGGCGAGGTGCATACACGTGTTGAAACTGAAAGGAGAACTGCTTTAGTAACTTTAGTGTTAGCTGCTAGGCTAGCAAAGCACATGTCATTTAGTGCGGTACGGCTGTGACGAACCAAGCTAGTGCAGCCTAGATGTATGACATGTCGTTCTGTGCAGTGCGTCCGTGGCATATGTCAGGAGGCGATGCACGGTCCTGAGAGTCAGTTTTCTTGGTATCGGTCTTCAGTCACCGGCCCTCTGTCTTCGGCCAATGGCCAAAACATAGCCGGAATCGCTTCTGTGTGTGTTTGCCGTCTATTCGGATTCAAGTGTCACAACATGCAACAGCCGGTAGGGTGGAGCAACAACAGTTGCTTGACCACACGGCTCCTTGCCAAAATGTAACAAAAGGTCTCTGCCACTTGCAACACGGATCTATGCTGCCATGTGCCACAGAACCTGACATGTTCTTTCAATGAATAGCATTGAATCGACGGCATAACTTGCATATGCTGCTCTTGGCTTGGAGCAGAATCGATTTCTGCCTTCAGCTGGACTGCCTCCATACGGAATGCAGAGACCAGTCTGAAGCACAGCGAGTCACGTCGAACATAGCAATCCGTCAGGGCAGATCATGCAGCCGGCATAGGTTTCCGAGTGCGATGCAGGTTAGAGGTCCCTTCCTTCCGGTCATACACTGGCCTCCTTGCCCAGAGCTTGTGCTTGCTCAATCCTTGCTTTCAGCAGTGCCTGGCAAGGATAGGAGAGTAAAGAGTTTGCAGGCCACCACGGTGGGCACCATGCAGCCTTGTTCTCTTGGAACGCCTCTGGCGGTCTGTACACTTTTTGCCAGAAAACCTGGCCAGGAATAGAGCAGCGTAGAAGTGCTGGTGCTGCTTTATCGAAATATTCTCTGAAGAAGTGACGAGACCAACAGCACTGCCTCCAACGCCTTCTGCTTGTCTAGAAGAAGCTCAGCTGCTTCGCTTGGTGGTGGCACCGTCGCTTGCGGAAGTCTCCGCTTGTCTGCTCTGTCCTTCCATGTATGGTGCTCACAAGCATCCCTGCAGAAGCCCAAGATATCTGATTGAAGAAAGTTGGCTGACGAGAGAATGCTTGCTCCAGCAGAGCAAACCATGGCCTGTTGAGCCTGCTTGACCGGCTCCACGGCCGGAGGAGCGCTTGCACTTCCAGAGCCAGGCTGCGCAACCTCCTAGAGCAGTTGGCCATGGACGGTACAAAATCACAGGACAACTGCAAGTCTGTCCACCTCCGGGCGGCTGCTGGCAGACTCCTCAGCTCAAGCCCGAAGAGCAGTGATTTGGGCTGGGATGCAACATGAAGGTTGGTCTGTAGCTTCGCGCATCTCGAAGTTTGCGCTGCAGGGTTGGCTGAGCTGTGTGTGGAGCTTGTGTGCTCCCTGCGGCTAGCGATCCGCAGATGCTTGTTCCTTTGCATGGGGATTGATTTTTGATCTTTGCCCCGACGGTTTTCAGGGTTTGCTGATCTCTGTGTGGAGCCCCAAGGTGTTCCCTGAGGTCAGCTCCTCCCGCTGGGAAGTGTTCCAAGATGAAGCTCTAGGACTTTGCTATGAGCCGCCATGGGCTCCAAGTCAGACAGCATCTCCCTGCTCTTTGAGGCTACTGCCTTCTGCGGGGAAAGCGCTCCAGCTGCTGGCGTTGCTCCAGCCGGTGAGGCTGCAATGAATGGCCGGGAGGTCTCGCCACGCCTCTTCACAGAAGCACTCCAATGTAATCCATTACGCACATACGCACACACAAAAATAAACACAGGTTGCCCACACACACCTTTTGTGGGAAGTGTGGCAAGTCAGGGCTCTGTGCTATGGAAACTCGACAGACCTCATCCAGCAGCCCGCCTACTACTGCAGGAATGCTGAAGACGTGGAGCAGACTTGCAAACACTGTCATGCACGGGAACGTAACTGGTACAGTGCAGGCGATGATGCCCGTGCAGTATGCACATCAAGAAAACAATTGAACGTGCGAGCAGTGGAAGGGTTGAGGGAAGGTTCGTGGGTACTGTATGTCAGAGCTCTTCTCGCAGGGGCACAAACTCAATTCTGCTTTGACCAAAAGTCCTTCGCAACCTTCAATAGCTCATGAACGCAACATACTGTGCATAAGCAAAGCTTGCCGGCACAACGCAAGCTAGGGCTCAAGCTGCTTCGTGAGCATTTTCACCATCACTGCGATCTCCTGGCGGAGTTGCGGCCCTTCAGAAACAGACAGCATCTTTCTATGGTGTCATATTTACATACATACACATACATACATGGACTACCATCATCAGCGACCAATGCTGCAGCGTCCTGGTCACGCTGAGCAACCTCAAGGACAGCGTATGGCTGCAACATTTTGGGTCCGGGCTGCTAGAACAGGGACCTCAAAACCCTTCAGCAGCCGAGAAGCCTCTAACTTCAGCTTATTGATCTCAGACTCCAGTGCAGCAACATGTCCTTCCAAGCATACTATCATACCTGCTCGTCTGCTGTGGTTGGAAGAGAAGACATGACATGTGGCTTTCCTGTGTCGGCATCGGGCCCCTGCGCTTGCTGGCCTGTTGTTTGCCGAGATGTGGCATACCACAACTCAGATGCACCAGAAGCTTCACCTTCCCCCTCCAGACACATGTCTCGCAGAATGTGAAACGAAGCGCGGAGCCTGTCACATGTTTGCTTGACTGAACTAGCACACGGGTGCGTGATTATGCTCGACCTATGTGATGGGATGCCCCAACCTCTCGATGGAGCCACACATGAACGGCTCCTCGGACTTCACGCCTGGTGGTGCTAGCAGACAAACAATGCAGCTGTCACAAGCGTCCACGCTTAGGCCAGGGCCCTTGGAGACATACTGCTGAACAAGAGCTCTGCACTGGTCAAGCGCATCCGCGGTCAGCGCCTCCGGGGCGCTTTCAGCTCTGCTCGGCCGCTGGGCTTCAGCACGACCCGACACTCACCCCAGAAAATCCCCAAGGCTGGACTGGATGCCTCGCATTCCTGGCCGTCCTTGCTGGCACGAGCAACCTTCACCTGCCAGTCAGATATGCCAGACCCGCAATGTGCTATGCGATCGCACGCCATGGAGTCAAGGTGGCCAGGCCTCTTCCTTGAGCTCTGCGACCTCCTTCTTCAGTCTGGATATGAGAAGGTTCGGATCGAGTTCCTGCCGCGAGCAGACTGAAGCCGGCAATCCAGGGCAAAATACAAAGCAATCCAAGTTCCTCGTTTACCCGGGCATTGTTGGTGATCTGAGCAACTCGTTGGGCAAAACCTTGGTGCAAAGCTTTGGGCCAAGATTCTGCAGGCCAGCTTGTACTGCAGGCATGCAGCGGCATGTGGAGATGGACTCCGGGATGTTAGAGGCCTGCAGGCCACATCATCTGGATTCTTCCCGCACTGCCGAATTGAAGCGGCGGGCACCTCTGCAGCAATACAGCCGACCATGGTTGTTCGACCTGGTTTAGCCAAAAATGTTCGCTTCCCATGTAAGATTGGTGAATGTAAAAGTGTGAGTGTTCCTGGGATTGCTGCAATTGCCACCCAGCGAGTCGCGAAGAACACTGGTCATCATGGAGTCACGGTACGGTACATGTGCCTTCCCAGAGTAAGACGAAGACCGCGTCAACGCTTTCAAGCAGTGCGGCCTGCACACCCTTTGATCGAGAATGCAAGGCCACAATGACCCTCTCCAAATAGTGCAGGGACAGGTTAATGGCCTGCGTGACTGCACAAACGGCCCATGCAGTGGTAGACCGGTTCGAAGCTCTGCCTTCGCTTCTTGCAAAAGCTTCCCGTCCACCCCGGTTTGCGAGACCTCAGCTGAGTGCTAGTCACTGGCAGCTAGTGCTGCTGCTGCTGCTGCTGCTTTTCCAGATGTATTTTCGGAGGGCCCGGCCCGCTCGCTGCCTGCTAGGTCGACCAGATGCAGCTTGGACCGTCGTACCACCTTGGAGGGCAGGGAAGGTAAGCTCAGGTGCTTTCCTGCAAAAGCAGCAGCACGAGCAATCTCGGCTGCCAGCATCACTTCCTGCTTGAGTGGAGTCGACCCAAATAATGAATAAACAGTGCGATCGGGTACTGGCATCGTTCATTGGAGTCTCCTCAAGGGAAGAGTCAGAAGGTGCTGAATGGGGTATATAAAACCTGGGGCCAGAGCAGCTACAACACGGTTCGTGTCGCCCAGGAACAGCAGATTCAATGCATCCTGCGAGAGCCATGAAAAGTCGTCATGGCTGCTGACAAACACTTCGACAGAATCCCGAACGATGCCCTCATGCAACACACAGTGACGTCTGCATCGGGGCTGATAGCCCCAAATGGAATCACGGCATGATCCAGACCTCCTCTGAGGCCGCAAGGTTGACCGACAGGTTGCGCAGGTGCATATTGCCATCTTCATCCTGCAGCAAAAGATGTGAGTGGTGCTTCACCCGTGTTCAGGTTAAGCAGAGCCCGCCTCGCGCAGCGCCACCTTAGGCAAATCTTCAAGACGCCTGACCTGGCGGCAGATGGCAAACTCGATCGACTTTCTCATACGCAGCTTCGTTGTGGGAGCATCAAAAAGAGCTGCCGAGTCAGGCACACTGTCATCGCGCAGCAGGTCATAGCCGCTGTCCTGTCACAAAGAGTGCCCAGTCTGATTGATAGGAGTCTGCCGAAGCTTGTGTAGAACCTTGCCCGATCCGACTCCTGATAGATTTCCAGGTAGGATATGTACATGCGATACTGGGCAGGCCCTTTGCGGAATGCCTGGGACCAGCGTTGGGCCGCTTTGTGTTTTTTGCCCCTTCCAAAAAGCTTTCGAAGGCCTCGAACATGAGCCGGATTGTGCGAGGAATCAGGCCGCGGTCTTCGTACTTCGAAGCGCCGCCCGTAATGGTGAAGGTCTTGCCACTGCCTCGAAAACAGCGTGTTCTGTCGAAGAGGCCCTTATGCTCAAGTGCAAATCCCAAACCTGTTTGACCATAGGCGAAGATGGTTCCATTGACGCCTTGGAGCACATCCTGAAGAATCCAAGCCAGTAAGTCAGATCAGAAAGCAGCATCCCTCGCGAAAACGCGAGCCTCGATGACCGGCTTGGCAATGACATCCAAGACGTCCTGCTGCTTGATCTGCATACCGAGAACCTGGCATGCAACCAGTGCTGACAGCAGAGATGAAAGTCACATGCCGTGATCCGGTACAGAGACAGAGCCGATTCTGGGCGCCGAGCTCCGTCGAACTGGAAAGAATGAGCTGCTTTCTGGTTGTTCACATCATAATCTGGCCTCGTTGTTGAAGGCTATGATTCGGCTGCACTGTGAGTGCAGAGTCTCCGGCGAAGTCTTCTCATGCTCAAACACCAAGGTCTTCCTCTCCTCATCAACCTGAAAAAGCAAGGGCAGGGGCACAAAAAGAAGATCGGAGCCAATGCTGCTCTCATCTCCGGCACCTGCCTTGAAGCCTGGAGCTGGTCGTCCAGGACGTACGCGGATGAACACCTTGAAAAAAATAAGACATACCAGCCTGGACTGGCTGACTGGCCGCAAAGACACAGGGATGGCACTTTGATGTTGGACGCCATCCATCACAGGCCTGGACAGGGATGAGGACGATGAAAGCTTCAGACACCACAGTTTATCAGAGGCAAAAGCAAAGAGAGGCCAGGCATGGCCAGGCCATGGCGGCGGCGTCATTGCATCTCTACAGTCTAGGTGTTAAGGTTGCAAGGTTGAGCTCCGGCCTCTATCAATTCGTGGAGTGGGCCGACCATGATACTTTGGTGTTCAGACCACTCAGACAGCTGCTGGAGCAATCTGCGAAACAGCACTCAGACACAATGGTTCAGCTATGGCACTCACTGGCATCCAGCGATTCCGCTCAGAAGTCTGGGTCTTGCACTTTGTAGTCTGGGGCCATGGAGCTGTTGCCAGTGCTAACGTACTTGCCAGACAGTATCCTTTCTCCTGAACGTTCCAATGTCCTGCACGGAAGACGCTACATGTCTCTACATCAATCATGAGTCGTACGGCACTGGGGAACCTCGGTCAGTCGCACACAGCAGCCAGCCCTCCTCAACGTTTCCCGTGGCGTTGTCACATTGACTCTGTTTCTGATATTGGGCTGGGACATCCTCGGCTTCTTCTTCAGCCACTGCATCCATGAACATGCGGGCATGTCGGGGCCATCTGGCGGCAGGCGAGTCACTCAACATCATGACCTTCTGCAGGATTATGCGTGTAGTCCTGGGCTGGGCTCGTTCAGGCGGCGTAACCGTGTAACCACAGATCCGGAGACGGCAGTAGAAGGCTGAAAGCATCTACTATGCGAGCAGAAAGTCCCTCATCGGTATTCGCGACGATGATGTGCCCTGGAACTTCCGCGGCACAACACCAAAGCATTAAGCATCCATCAAAACAACGTGTGTTGCAGCCCACCTTGAAGCTCATGGTGTCTCGCTGAAGCAGCTCGTGAGTGCGCGTAGAGTTGGGTGGTGGTACATCCATGGGGGCCGACTGCAGTGTATACCTTCCAGCAGCAGTCATCATATGAATAAGAAAGGCGAGATTCCTGCAGAACGTCGTGCTACGATGTGCTGTGCCGGAAACCCGACAGGAGCAAATGTGCGTGCCTCGGGGTCAACGGATTTGTTTGCCGAGTAGTTTTGAAGACTTTGGCCTTCAAGCAGATTGAAAGAAAAAAGGCACTTGCGGCACCATACAGGGCTTGGTTCTGGTCGTGCTGATGCTTCCTGTCATTATTATTGCTGTTGGCCGTGGCAGTGGTAGCATTCGTAGCGGTCCACACTCGTCCTCGCCACGGGTGGCAGTGAAGGTAGTGCTGGTGCTGGTGCTTGCAGTGGTGCTGTTCTTGTTGGACTGTTGCCGCTGCAGTGGGACCGCGGGCAGTAGCGGGATTAGCGGGCGGTGGGGGCCGTGGGGATGGTTTGAGTTTGAATGGCACGGTGAAGGTTGCAAGTACGACTTCAACGACGATGATTGATAGAACGGTTAATGGTCGCTAGATTGATTGATGACTCATGCATACTACTACCTCACAGAGCAGTGTCGATGGTGAATATGGTGATGGTGAAGCAGAAACGACGACGATGAGGCTATTGAAGACCAAATGGATGACGATGTAGAGGAACAAGCAATAACAAGCAGATGCCGAAAAAACATCACGATGGTCGTTGCTATGGCAGCATGCCGATGGAAGAATGTGTTTGGCCCGCTCCTTATAATCCCTTACCCAGTAGTGCCTTAGTCAAGGTTCCAACCTGAGAGCTGCTTAGCTTAGTTAGTGCCACAGTACTTGCAGATTCCGATTCTTCGCAGAAACGCGGGAAGCATCTGGAACCCCGCCGGCCTTCGGCTGCGCACCATCAACGTCGTGGGTTGTCAAGGATAGATCTTGCTGCTTTTCGATTGAAGGATAGCTGCTCCTGGCCACAGATCCTTTGATGAAGTCCTTCAGGCATCGTGAACGTGGACTCTCGCGACTGCCTTGAATCTACACTCTGCCGCCTTGTGAGGCGGCCCTTCGAGATGCAGACTCTGCGTCATAAACCTCAGATGACATGCCTCTGCGCCACAATACACCACATCTGCACAGTTCTAGGTTGTCGGCGATGACACAGCTCCGCGTATATCACTTGCCAGCAGCGCCTGACAAGAAACGGCCGAAGGAGCTGACTTGACCATCCCTGATGGGCAGCCTGCTGGTAGTCTTTCTCACACGCAATTTTGCCACGGGGAACGTCCTTAGGCCTCACGACGTTCATGGACCTCAGAAGCCATCATCAAACCGTGACATTAACAATGCGATGCAGAAAGATCTTGCTCAAAATTCTCGGGGCGGCACATTCCGTCGGCTCGCGACGGAAAACGCATTGGCTTGCCATCATCTGATGGATGATGGAGCATTTTGAGGCCCTGGATGCAAAAGCATCTCTGTGGCGTTGCAGGTAAAGGAAGGCAGAACAAGCAGACTGTGTGGAGAACCAGCAACCCAGACGCATCACAGGACCCTGTTCTGGCAACCCGCAGCAAATCCCTGAAGTCGCCTGCGGCGGGACCGCATATCCATGTGTCGTCAGGGTCATGTCGTGGCCAGTGCTAGTCGAGACACTCGATCGCCGGATGTCGAATGCTTGCGCATGATTTCACGTGCATGCCTGGTCAATGCTTGCTCCGACTGCTTGAAATTTAGTGAATAAGCTGCTGCGCACAAAACAATGTCAATGTGAAGCCGAAGGCTGCACTGACTATGATGCAGCAAGCAACGGCAGGTGCTTTTCGAAGGCTTCCCGTCCAGGCTCACTGGTTTTCGGAATCTTGCAACGCTTAGTTGCAAGAGTCACGAATTGGCTGCAGCACGGCACTTCCAACAGCCGATTGCGGCATCTTGACAAAGCAGGTAGACTAGTGCCCGTGAGCGGCCAGCTACACAGCTATGCCGGTTTGACAGTTTGCATTGGTTGACTGTACAGGGCAGCTGCCCGTGCCGTGGGTGTATTCACCGGACCATGGCCGGGGAGGGGCCGTCTATGCAAAATGCTGTTTTCCATATTGACAATCTTAAGGCCTGCGAACTTGAATGAAACACCTTGCCGACTCTAGGGCGAACAGCCAGGCAATGAAAACCTGGCAATCCCAGCATGTTTCAAAATTGATAACCGAACCAGTCACTGACATGTATGCTTAAACTGATGTCCCACCTGGGTTCCGGTACCTTTTTTTCACTTTTTCGGTGTGTACTGTACCCCTGCAAGGGTGCTTGGCATGGCAGCGCTTCTGCCGCCAAGTGTTTCCTCTTCAGCACAGCCAAAACAGCAGGGGGAGCCCCCTACAGTACTCTCCCGTTGCTGTCTCTGGTTTGCTTTCTTTGTGTCTTCCCTTACAAGGTTCACAACTCATCGTGCCTCTCGATTGCTCGTCCTTTAGGTCTCGTCGGCGCGTCGGCGCGAGACTGTGAGAAGAAACTGATCTTGTCGAAAAGCCTGGCGGCTACTGTAGCCGCTATAGCCCAGGCCCAGGCGAAGTGTAAGTCCACGTCTCGCTCCACTACTTGGTTTTCTCCTCCGTACTTTTGACCTGCTGCAGTATTAAGAACCAATCCAACGTGGGTCCTGCCAAGTCAACGAGAAAATTGTAGAGTGTGAACTTAAGGCGCAGGGGGTACAGTGGGTGATTTGGCCCTGCCTTCACGTGAATCCACCCAGCCTATGCTGTGCTCCATGCCACGAACCGCGGCAAGCGCATCACTTGCTGGGAGAATTGTCTGACCACGCACCTTCCTCCACAGCGATACTTCTATTGCATTAGTTCACATGACATGACCAAATAACATGTATTCATGCAAAATCCTCCTCCAGAATGCTCAATCCTCGAGCCGCGGAGGCCTGTTCAAAAGCATTCTTCATGAGTTGGGAGTTGCATGTAGGTTTAGATTTCCCCCTCCACAGTGGCTTATTACGAAGCTTTCGGCCTCGGCAGTGGTTTTCTCCTTCCAGATTTTGCCCATGCTCCAATCGGGCTCAGAAGCGATATCTGCTCTAGGGTCCAACGTGACTGCGAGCTCCTCACCCCTCTTCTTCAAGTACTGCAGGAGCTCCGTCTTCAACTGACTTCCGGTCGCTCCGGAGAGTGTCAGTGCCTTGGGTGTCACGGCTCGGAGTCTCAACACAAATGCAAAGCAGCTACATGCATCCAAGGCCTCAGGGTGGCGGCCTTTGGGGAGACCAAACCTTTGCAAGAACTTGCTGCCATCAACAGGCACTGCCAGTAACCGCCAGTCTGAGTCGGCAACATGCTTGTGGTCCGTGAGACCAACTTGTGCACCCGAAGCAGTTCCTGCACGTCTCTTGCAATCGATGTATCTTTTGTCATGCTCCCATGTCGTCCTCGCTCTGAGGTATGTGTCGGGAAGGTGCCAGAGCTCGTGGCGCATGTCTGTCAGAGCGAAGGGTTCGGCACCACGACACGCCACGACAAGCTCCCTCAAATGCGAGTCAACCCTCGCTCAACTTGCTGTGCATCTGGCCGTAGAGAGCCAATGTGTGGATTTCCTGGCGATGCAGCTTACAGCAGAGCCAGCAACAAAAAGTGTAGAGCGTACCCTTGGGTACGAGTTTGGCTGGTGACAGCTACTGGTAGATGACACTCTGTCCGGCATCGAGACGCCAGCAATCACGTGCACTATGAAGGGACTCACCTTGGGCTGCGGACATCTTCACACTTTAAAGTTCAACATGAAAGCCGTCCCCTCTGGGGTCATGCCTTGCACTGGACGCAAGCATCATAAGGTTGAAGCCACTGAGACAACTCTCCACTTCATCCCTGCCACGCACGTCTGGAGACCTGGAAGAACCACACACGACCGAAAAACAAGCAGAAGACTGCGCGGAGAGCTCCAGAGCAGGGGGTGAGAGCCCTTAGGTGTGCAGCTGGGCCATCGGCGCAGAAGACAGCGAGCTGGAGCTGACAAAGGGGGCAATTTCTTGCTTCAGGCTGATGACCCTACACTTGCGCTATACACTTTTGGTCCGTCCTACTTACCACGTGCGACACCACGTGTCTTCCGGGCCCATGTCCCCAACAGTCCTGCGCTCCGAGGTTCCGCGCTGCTCCGGAGACATGAGGCCCCTCCCAAGGAAGCTGAATGGCAGGGACTTGCCTTCTGTGTCTCTCATCGGCTGGCCTTTCCAAGTCCAACTCTGAGTCCGTTTCGCCGAAGTGCTCGTCCTGTTCTTGCAACCAGGCACTTATCAGATAGATGGTTGCTTTCAAGCTGCTTCTTCGAAGGGTAGTGCTACGGACAGGGTTGACGTGAAGTACGGGTCGGCAAGGCAGGGCTAACGATGGGATTACCGAACGACGATAAGCCGAACGCATTGCTGAACTGGCTTTTGATGCATTTTGATGCTTTTGCTCGACAGATGCATCCCAACCAACCAACCAACCAACCAACCAGATGAGGGAGACAGCGGGCCAGCCTCCTTGATGGGACCAAAGTCCTTGCGCGCAGAAGGGTCACAGCCCTTGTGTGGCAAGTTCTGCGCTGCTGCTCTTCGGCTGTTGACTCAGCCCGCCGCAGAGTGGTGCCTGCATCAACGTGCTGCTTCTGTCATGCCGGCAACTCTCGCAACTATACTGGTTGAGTCTTGGCATACTTTGCCCCTTCAAGACACAGACCTCACCGCAAGCACCAATCGTTCAACTCTTCGAGTCATGGCCAAGCTCACCCTGAAACGCCGCTGGCTGTTGCTTCATGCATGATTTCTGAGAACACTGACATTCTGATTCGCAGCATGACTCAGACGAATACAACGTAACACGCCACAATATGCTTTGCACTAACTAACTATATGCCTTCTATTCAATACAGCACGACTATGTCAGCGCAACAGCATGTTCGATACTTGACTCAACCCCCTAAGGTCGTGGATCCATTCATGTGCATCTCGAAGATTCTCGAAGTGCCTTTCCCGCTGGACGTAAGCCCCTGGCCTCGGCCTTTGAGCTCGTTGCCTTATTTTCTGGCTTCGATTCTGCCTGTCCATCCCAATTTGGCGTCGAGCCATATCAGATGGCACGGCTCCAGGGCACGGTCACAGTCACCTGGCCTAATTCCTTCCATCAAGGAGAAGAAGTAAGCAGCATAGATTTTGGCATCGACGAACACCTTCCACCTCAGGCTGTGAAGAATCTGCAGTGACGCAGTCATCGGAGCGTCTGCGAAGATTGCATCTATCCGAGCACTGGCACTGCAGTTTTTCCAGGAACATCGATTCCAATCGGTACAACGCACCGCATTTGTAGCGAATGCCTGGCGATGCTTGCTACTTCCCTCTGTTCGATCGGTATGAAGACGGATGCCGAAAGCCTGCAACTTCCAGAAGGCAGTCTTCAAAGTCAGCGTTCCAGGGATGAATGTCCTCCCATACCTCGCCAGCATGGTTCAAATCGACGCTAGTAGCTTCAGACCCCCTCATGATCTGGCCTTGGATGCAATCAGCAATCCAGCTGTGACAAGCGAGCGCCAGTTACCAACCGTCAGAACGGTGTCGGTCTGAGTCGTATACCCCGGAGTTCACAGCTCAACGTACAGCCAATTCTTAGATTTTGGGTTTCCAGAGCCTGTTCAATCAAGCGCTCAATGTAGATGGCGCAAAGTACAACTACCTCGGCCAGGTTTTGTCTGATGTGCTGCGTCATCGTCAAGCACATCGCTGGCGTTCCGCCTGCTTGCAAAAATACAGGGAATCGGAGATGTCGTTCAGAAAGGTCAGAACGGCCTCATGAGACCTGTCGAGCAACAGCAACCAACCTTTGAAAACAGCTTCCCGAGGCGCTTCTCTTAGTATCAGCTCCTGAAGCTGTGTTGTTGCAGGGCAGGGCACCAAGCTTCCGACAAATCCGGCTTCTTTTTTCTACGAGGACAGCAACACCATCTTCGACGCAGGAAGTGGTCCTGCAACCGCAGCGCGATCTGGAATGAGGCTTGGCACTTATCTCCGCTCTACCAGCTTTCTGACAGAATAACTAAACTAACTGAACCTGGGTTGCCGACAAAGTACAAACTTGAGCCCTGGAAACTGCTTCAAGGGCTTTCTGTGGGAATCAATGTCAGCTGCACATTCATCAGCTGTGGTGAACATCTGGTCTTGGCGTCATGATGCGATTTTGTCGAAGAGTGAAGCAAACGGAACGGAATGCCCACACCGACCTGCTTACCGCACTGCCTGCACTCGCACACCACGTGCGGCCCCGTCGATCCAGATCTGCGTAATGAGCTCCATGTTTCCCAGTGACAAGCATTCAGCCTCTCCTAACTTTTTCTCCCCTGCCCAGAGCTACCGGAAGCCTGGGCTTGTTTTCCCGTGCACGAGTTTGTGCGATCAGGTCCACTGCAGTATGAGTGGATTCCCCGGATCGACCGGATGGCACAGGGGCGCTAGTAGGCAAAGCAGCCAGAGCATGCTGCAGTACTAACCTGGTGCACATGGCTGCTGCCGACGCGGACTTGGACCATAAGGACGCTGCACGGGCTCGAACGACGGGAGATGCTGGGGCGCACAATGTGCTTGTGAGGTCGGGACCTCGCGAAGAAGAACTGTGTGGGTCGGGCTGGAGAAGCAGGGACTATGGGACGATACTGAGAACAATGCAAGAGCGGGCAGTGTCTGCGCACGCCTCACCATCTGCACAGAGCCAGAGGCAGAAGGGCCCATCCGTCGGTGACACCATGAAGATCGGGGGCGAATGAGAAGGTGGGACAAATATAAACTTCTGAAGTGGGGCGTAAACCCTCCGGTTGACCTTGGGCGAGTCTCGCTGCTGAATAAGGTGGCCCGCGTGCCAAGCGTTCTTACGGTCGCGACTTTCCACATAAGCACCGGTTGATGTTGACACATCACTTACCAGTAAGATCAACAATGATGAACATATATCAAAATCAAGCAGACATGACCCGCGTTTTTCGGGTTGGTGCCTCATGGAACTCGTCGTCATTCTTTGTCAGGGCCTGACAAGGCACTGGCTCAAAACCATTCCAATGCCCCTCCTACATGTTCCGATGCTGAAAGTCCGAAGCTCCCAGGAAAGCAAGTTTAAATGCGGTAGGGTCGTGGCACTCTGCTCTTAGACTTGGAATGCGTTCGCAGTTCACACAAAGCCTCTGCTTTGTCCCTTCCCTCTTCCACATAGCGGCAGACGAGTGTTGCCACCTCGACAGAGCATAGAGAGCTACGGCATGAAAACCGTGTCTGAGGCCCAGCCTGCCCGCTGATGGCGTGCGTCGTCTGCTCTTCGGTGACGAAACGCGGGTCAAGGCTCTCCCCATCCCAAACGTGCCTCGACAGGGGCAGGTAGGAAGTCCTATGGCCTCAGGAGACGTGAGCCCTTCCTAGTGCCCGTGGAGTTGAGAGTGATTTCCCCGTCGATGAAGTCTCTGGTTTTTCTGGGCTTTCCGGCCTGACACAGCTGGCAAAGCATCATGACAACTCAAAAGTTGAGAAAAGCGCTCATTGCAAGGTTGCCTTGAAGCTGGCTGGGGCTGATGGCAGGCTACCCCCACTTCGAGGAGGCTGCGTGCTCAACCAGCTGCCTAGGTGTGTGGAGCTAAACTCTAGGCTGGCTCGAAGAAACGGTTCGCACCCTTCCCGCCTGCATCCGGCTTGAAGGCCTGGGCGAGAGAGGGGCTTTGCACCCCTTCTCAAAGTCTTCCACCGGCGCTGTTCCCCTAGCTACTGATCGCATCCGAGAAAACAATATAGCAGGTAGATGTGGGTTGAAGCAACAGCTCACTTCTTGGTCAGGGTATCGCAAGTATCGGTTTCGGGCCTTGGATGCTGATCTTCTTGCTGTCGCTGGGGACTCGTAGCCCAAAGGGAGCACACCGCTTCCGAACTTTTCCCATAAATCGTCGAGAGAGTTTCAGGTCCACACAGACGACTCAGACCCCACTCGGCATGGAGTCACCAAACGATTCTGCGCTAAGTCTCTACTCGATAGACCCACTACATACCGCACCTGTGGACTGCCGGCTGAGCGGTGGATGGCAGGAGGGGTTTGGCTAGGCTGTTTTGACTTCGCAGTTGGTCCGCGACATGGGCCATGGTTTTGGCCACGGAGCTGCGGCAAAGACAGTAACACGTGCAAGAACCTCAAGACAATCAAAAGGTAGCTAGACATCATCCACTCACGACAATGCAGCACAAGAAGGCCGGCCCTCGGGCGTGGCATCACTCTGAAACTCTCTTCACAGCAATAACTGCTACAACATTTTTCTCACGGTTCTAACCCCTACAAACATAGGCTCGAAGCTGACTGTTTGGCTTTCGTCTAGTCCACCAAGCAAAGTCCTAGACATTAGCAGAACAGATCGTACAACGACGACAGTTTATGAGTAGTTGCAGCAAATCTGCAAAGAGGACCGACAAGCTTGCTGGGGGGCTGAGGCAGGCTCAGGACAGTGAATCGTCAGCGGAAGCAGCGGCTGTTTCAACCTTAGCCAGGTCAGGCAGCAATGAAGTGCCTTCGTACATTGACATGCCTTGCAGATCCTTGCAACTGAGTCTACACTCGGAACCGATTGCCATACAGTTGACACGCCGTTCCAGATTACATCCCCGTTGCACACTGATAGCCGGCCTTCTTCGATCGTGCACGGCAGCGTATGTAGACTGTATGGGGACTTGACACTTGGTTTTGGGGGTGGTCAGTGTCGAAGTTTCTCAGGAGCTTGCTCTTGAGACGACAAACCCCTTGAAGGCTTCGCCCCCATAACCTCGGAGAATCAACTCCTGGCTTTCATGAGATTCTCTGCCGTCAGCTCTGCAAACAAATCCCAAGGCAGCGGCTGCCCCTCTTTCGCGATAAACTTGTGTCGGCTGCTATTTGGAAGCTCGAGCGAGATATGCCCATTCCACGTACCCCCATCACAGCTGCAATCGCAGAGCGGCTTAGCATGCCTGCCCTCCAAAGGACTTGAGACTCTTGACAGCTTGACATCCTAGCTTTTGCAAGCTGGCGGAGGCGGCCACGCGGCGTCGTGCATCGCGATGCAAAGCTAAGAGCCGAATTTCGCTTCCACCGTGAGACAACGTTAACGGATGAGGAGCCCTTCCAGCCAAGCCGGAAGCAAAGGCCGTGCAATGTGCAGATGTGTGTTTCGCACCTTCACGACCCATGTGTCCAGCGTGCGTATCTGCATCACGTATACAACACTGTATGTACAGTCGGGGATCGACTTGAGCGTGACATCAAGCTCGGCGGTGAGTTGAGACCTAGTCAAGCAAGTACGACTTCTTGAAAGAACATGTAAACCTGTCGGGTGAGTTTACATTGACTTCTGCTCAAAGCATTGGACCTCTTGGACAAACTACCCTGCGAGAACGTTGCTGCGCAGTCATGTGAATCAGCACAGGCCTGTTGCAGCAGCTGTGCTGCTTCTGCCTTTTCAGGCCCGCTGAGTGGTGACTGGGCAGAGGAGACCTGACATGGACGCAGGACAGTTTACGTTCCGTGCAGATAAGGTGCTCTGAAGGATGAAGGTACTGAGGATCTGTCCTTTTGGAGAGCGGAAACGAGATCCTCAACTTGCGAGGCAGTGAAGTGGATGCCCTGGTTCAGAGCCTCAAAGCAAGCATCAACATCTCGCTTACCCCAAAACGTCCGGACTGGGAGAGCCATGATGACAGTCGCATGTTCCTCAAATGTGCACTCTGGGTAGTTCGCAGATCACTCTAACTTTAACATTCCTTCACTCCCAGGTGGCCAAGTTCCTCTACTCTCAGGGATGTTCCTGAATGCATCCGCCTGCCACAGCCATGAGAAGATCTGCTCGATGCTGGTAGCAGCTGGGTCCTCAATTGTCGATGCCTACACACCGCTTGGGAGATCTCAGGTCACCCAGAGAGTCTGGTTTCATGCTGACCCTGTCTCGGAAAGCAATGTTCGATAGAATGCACGGACCTTCGCCGGTGAAGAGAGGATGTGTATGAGCCGGCGGATCCTCAACTGCGCGCGCATGTCTTCTACTCAAGCACACACCGCTTCACTGTGCCGCGGGCAGTCTGGAGTTGCTCTCAGCATCTAATCGATCCACGATCGGGCCTTCGAGAGGGCATTCGACGGTACTTCGATGCATCAGACATTGACACATGGCAGTGTATAAAATCTGCATCTTGTGCTGAATATGCGAGGAATGGCATGTTGGATTGAAGGCCTGTGTGCTTCATGAGTCGGAGCAAGCATTTTTCTTCAGGCTCAGCGATGACCTGACCGCGAGACCCGCGAACTTGTCGAATATTCAGCTCTCACACGACACCTGTCCGAAGCTCGGATTCGGCCTGCTTGTAAGCCTCCAGAAAACGTCTTTCGGAACAGAGCTCCATCACAGAATCCCACAGTTGTCCGCCAGCTTTCCTCGGCAACTGTCGGATCTATTCTGCAGGCCGTTCATCAGATGACTCCCGTGCCCATGTCTTTGCCCATTCGGATGTCGGCTTTAAATTGGCAGAGCATCTGTGACGAGGCCTTTGTCGCTGAACCTGTGTCAACCTGGGGCAGCATGGAACAATCATCATGGTCGCTTGCAGCGGTGCGAGCTGCACAGGAATCTGATCTCGCTGCACCTTGGCACGGCCAAGCGCCTCGGCAGGCAATGTAGCAGCATCAACAAGCGCTTCAACGGTTCTCATATGTGTAATGTGCTGCAGCGGCTGGGTGGACTTGCCAAAGGTCGCTCGCTGCTGCTACCAGCAAGAGCGCCGCCGGCCCCAACCGCCGCTGCCTCAGCCAAGGCTGGGCCTGAACCTGAACGAACCGTTCCCCCGGAGCTGAGCTGCGCACACCGTCCGCCGTTGGACCGGGGATGCGAGTGGCCTTGCGTCAATCTATGTCAATCTGGACACTAGTCACTAGTCACATCCACCCGGCCTCGGCTCCCTCTTTCCAATCGGCTGCCCACCTGACTTTTGCAGCGAATTTCGGGCTCAGCTTCGAGTGACAGCAAGCAAGATCGCACCTTTTTGCGGGATTGCCAGAACCTGTCCCGGCATCCTGCCGTAACAGGTGCAGACTGGCCGCTGCCTTGCTTGGCAATGCCGACAGCAGATGTCCTCTGCCGTCCAGGCCTGAAAGGATGTCCAGGATGGGCCGACATTGCAACAACCAATTCGCTCAAATCTGACCTGCTTCGCGGGCTTCACCGTGCTGCTGGATGATGCCTGCCGGAGAGAATAGAGATGGAAACTGCTGTCACAGCAACACCTTTATTACGAAGATGATCTTGCAAGTAGGACCGGCAAAGTGGCCCAACATTTCGCCCCACGCACACCCGGCTGGCCGTGCTGATGAATGCGTCAGTGAGCAAGATCTGCTTCTCCAGCTCCTGCTCCTTGTCAGACCACTTGCAAACTCACTAAGGCTCGTTCACAAGCTCCGAGCCATTCACCTCCGGAGGCTTGAGTCTCTTCGTTTAGGCCACAATGTCAAAGTTGGCAATGGAGCAGGTGCCAACACCAAGATCAAACCGGACGGGTGTTCCAGGTACTTCTACCGACCCCTCCCTTGAAACTGGCGACAGAGACGACGACAAAAAGGAACATCGTGATGAGCACCATCTTTAGCAACAGTGTAGCCTCTGTAAGCTAAGACAGCCTGTGTTTGCATCACGCTCTCATGCAGCTCCTGCTGCTCCAGCTGCTGCTGATGCTCATTGAGCATTTGGTCGTTCTGTTCCAGTCGCTGGTCCTCGAAAGCAAAAGCGAGCGACTTGAGATGGTGCAGGAAATCTGGGAGCCTGCTGCTGGATCTGCAGCTGCTGCTCCTGAGAAGCGTTGATCCGTCTACGTCAAGGACGCGGGCGCGCGCGCGCGCGTGCCATGCGCGAAAGCACGAGCAGCTCAGCTCCTGGAGTTGCTGGTCCTGCATCCGGGGGCTGAACGGAACAAAACTCCCATCCCCCTCGCGTGCAAGCGGCTCACAAGCTGTCCATCTGCGCCAACTCGTCTTCCTGCTGAGCAATGCGCTCCTCCATGAGTTGCATCTGCTGCTCCTGCCCGCAAGCCAGCTTGTCTTGGCGCTGCAGCAACCCTTGCAACCCATTAGCTTCCCCTATCAGGCCTGCGCCTCTAGCCTCTGCTGCTGAGTGGCGATAAGCTCGCCTTGGCCTCAGATTGTTGACACTGACCTTTCCTGCAGAGAGGTGACCCAGCTTGCTGAAACTATCTGAAACTCATCTCACCAGCTCAAGATAGCGTAGGCATGGCACCTTCGCAGGTTCGAACCAGCTGCTGCAGCCTGCACAGACATCCACGACGGCCGTGCAGCTTGCAGTCACAATGGTATCCCTTCCAGTGCCTTTCGGTCATTTGCCTGTCGGAGCGCCGCTTCTCGTCCTCTGCTGACATGAGACGAGTCGACCCGAGAAAAGAGGGATGGCAAAGACGGGGAGAGGGCAACCTGAAACGGAGGCCAGCCAGTCCTCCACGAGGGCGAGGCGTTGGCTCAAAGCCTCGATGTGTGACAGGAGGGTGGTCGTCTCCTCCACCACAGCTGCACATTGACAGTCATCGGCAGCTTTCGAGCGGATCCGTCCTCTTGATCACTAGCCGCAGGCCTGCCAGTCAGCTGCTTTTGAAGGTGCACAATGACGGGCATAAAGTTGCAACCAGGCGTTGCGGCACTGCAAAGGCATGGAAAGGCCAGTCTCGACTGAGGCAGGAGACCCCAGAAACCACGGCCTATGCGGAGGTGCGGCTGAGGCGAGCTGCTCCGAGCGCCCTGAGGGATCTTCCCACCTCTCACTGGACTTGGTAGAGGCCCAAACACTCACAAACTGACATAAGCTGACCAAACCGGGTGCCCGGCCAAGGCGCTGGGCCCTGACGAACAGGGTTTGTCAGCATCCCGAAGTGATAGCGTTTCAGGATGTGTCGACTCTCGGCGCCGAGCATCTGTCTCGGGAGCCTCTGTGGACGCCTGCCACTTGCCCATCGCACTTGCAAACAAAACCCCGCTCGACGTGAGGCTGCGAGGAGCTGCTGTACACTCTCCTGTTCGTCTGCCGAGCTCCAAACCTCATCACAATCACCCACCCACCCACCCTTCCACTACAATGATATATTAATTCAACCACTTTCCCACTTCCACGTAGATATGCTGCTGCTGATCATTTGCGTGTGAGACTTGGTGCCATTGTTGGTTTTATCAAGTATTATCATTTCCCATCACTTCCTTCATCATTGTCGTTCAGCTCATCACAAGGATGGCTTAGTACATCAGATATCTTCACATAAACTGCAGCATGTAGGGCCGTAAGCTTCAGCTTTGAAAGTGCTGTCGGCAGCAAAGGATGCGAAGGTCAAAACATGGACCGAAGGCTCCCGATCATCTCTGCCCGAGGGAACTTTCGGTGGCAATGATCAGATGTCCCAACGCTGTATAGTATCCCGAACCTAAAACCGGAAGTCGAAATATCCCGCCGCAAAGGTGTCTACAATCGCACGAGTGATCGTAAAACTTGCGATGCCCGTGCAGGTCGAAGCATGCCGAATCCTCTGGCCTGGTGAGACCGAATATCCTCTGCAAGGTGAGGTGATGCCTTGGCCGGAAGTGGACTGTGGCTTCGCTGTGAAGTTCATCTTACCACGCTGAGACCTGTGCGTCAGAGACCTCTTGCTGCGCTGGCCTGACATCATAAGGCAATCGTGGGCATAGGCTTTCGTGGTCGGGTGCGACCAGACTGGGCCACAGGCGCAGAGGAGGTCGGGGACTGCGATGGATTATCACCCGCACCTCTCGGAAATCTCCCACGCACGTGCAGTCGCAGAAGCTGAAAACGTGTTGCCTGCCGCATCCACCCTCTCTGGAGCTTCGGCTGTCTTGGAACCTAGCTTGACCGGCTAGCAGCCCACGCATGTCTATGGATCAATGACTGCCACAAGTCCAGGGCTTGATCTCGCCGCTCTCCTGGGCTTTGAATCCTCGCAGGCATGCAGTGCAACTACGATCAGTTGCGAGCAACTGTGGCACGTCCTCAGTGTCTTCCAACCTGTTGGCTGGCACCGGCTTCCTCAGCGACACGAACGTCAGAGGATGCGGAGCATTGCGAAAGCTTCTCGTGCCAAGTCAGATTTTTGAGATACCGATCGAAACCGGGTGTGGATGCTCCAAGCTGGAACTCTGCAAATGAAAGTCTGCCTACGACCGCAGCTTCCGAGCACTTGACTTTCTTGCTCTTGTGGCAACGCCAGTGCCCGCCTGAGCATGCATTGGAAGCCCTGTCTTCCCCGCATGTGAACGTGCACCAATGCTTGAACGTCTACTTGCGCTTTCAAGCGAGCTCTTCCGAATCAAGAGCACCTGAGAAACAAAGCCTCCAACACGCATTTACAAGCATTACAAATAATCACAAGCACTACTCCTGGAAACTCAAGTATCTTCACAACGTCTTCACACCAATTGCTCTTGAAGCACGGAGCACAGGCTCGTGAATCATTGGAATCAACTTCTCATGATCATGCCTGGTTGTTGTGCGGCTCGCCTAGGGGCAAGACTATGCCTGACTATGCAAACTCCGTGGGGTGGTTAAACCTCGGATCAAAGAAAGCCTCGATCCTCGTGCACAATTCCTTGTTCTGCCTGAGCGAACCTCGAACGGTCCACAACCGGTTTCGGCCTCCGCGGAGTTCATCCGCGGCCCGCCGTTTCCTGAGCCTGTTTGCCGTACGCAAAGCTGCCAAGGGATCTCAAGGGCTGAGGGCCGGGGTTGGCTGGGCCATGCCTGTGTCCACGAAGTGGGCCTAGAGCCAGGCACTCACAGACCCCCTGGTTTTTGACGTCGTTCCGGCCTTTGCTGGCTCCACCGAGACATCACGCTCGGCTGCTCCTCCCACAGTCACACACCCATCAAGACTTCGAAAGCTAGCCTAGGCTGGAGGGACGGCAAGCGAAACAGAGCTGGCGAGGCGGGCTCCAGCAAGCAACGGAAGGCAAACAGAGTTCAAGAGGCGGGCTCCAAGCATTATCACATCCAAAACGGAGGGAAATTAAAGCTGGCTAGGCGGCTTCCAGGCATCCTCACATGCAACCACGACCGTCTTAGCAGTCTAGGAGAAACAGAGATAGCATCATCACCTCCAGCACATCCAACCACATCAATAACTCCAGCAACAGAGTGAGGGGGGGAGGGAGGGGGGGGGGGTTGATCCATGTTTCAATTCTGGGGTCTGGCCGGTCTCCAGGCCCCTACTGCTAACGCAGATAGAGACGAAAGCCACGCTACGCTAGCTTTCGTTACTTGCAGCAAGACCCCGCTAACGGTGACACATCGTGTGGCTCAGCAAGCGCCGAAAGTGAACCAGCCTGGGTCAGATTCGTCCTGCCACAGCAGCGTAGCATTGCCGGCATTCGCACACAAGACAAGTCGGGCCTTGGCATGCACCGGAGATTCCTGGACTGCTGGCAGATCCTGACAAAACGCAAAAGACATTAGAAACACTTCACGTGCACGAGGGCACGCACACTCGGCAAGCACGAGCAGGAGTCTGCTGCCAGACGCGTGGCGTTCGCCCATCTCTCCTCCATCAGATCGCCTTCCGTGCGCGCCAAGCCTGGTGCAACAGAGTCAGATGTACGACATGCCGAAGTCTCTGTCCTCGAAACTGTCGGCCTCGTGTCTCGCTACCTGAACTGAGCAACCTGTCCTGGCAAAGTGGAGGCTTGGAAGCTAACTCCAACCGAGAAATCGTACTTGTGGGATTTGACAGGGAAGCATTACGAAACGGAAACAATGCAAACTAGTAAAACATGAATAGACAACGAACAGAAAGCTTTTGTCCAGAAGGCGGTATGAACCGAGCTTGCATCAACAGTAGGAAGACTCAGGAAGACACAACTTTGCAACTTCCCAGATGTTTCAGAATTCCGCTTCACGTTCCAAGCCGTCTCGCTAGTTCATCGGTTTTCTTCTGAGGTGTGAACACAGCAGGAACACCAACAACGGAAACAAGTGAACCCCAACATGGGAGCGAATGCATAGGAACGACTACTAATTTCGTCAAATAAGTCCGAGAAAACTCTGGGATTGAAATTCAAGGACAAACAAAGCGGGCAGGTGCTGTTTCTGCATGTCACCTCAAATTTAAGAGTTCCGGAGACCCTCCGGAACATAATAGTTTTGCCATGGTTTGCCTACTGTGTTCCTTCTGACTGCAGTCTATTTCGCCGCTAGCTCTACGCAATGGTAGAGCTTGTGGAGAGTTAACCTGTCGGCCCAGACTTGCCTCACTCTCCCCGCTGCCAGACCCCCCACCCATCCCCGCCATTACGGGCTTTGGGGTGAGGCAAGTAGCCCACCGTCGACTTGAGCTTTCACACTGCTGATTCCCGCTGCACTAAACTCGTCCTCCAACCCTGCCATACCAGGCATGCCAACGACGACGTCTTCAAAGTCGTCGCTTGCTGCTGGGTGCTGGTTGGCCTCAGCAACGATCTGCAACACAGGTGGTTTGACGGCCTCCTAAACGAAGAGGTATCCAAGCCCCTGACCGATTGGAAAAAACTTGAGTTTGCTGGCTGGCTAAAGATGGACACACGCTCGCGCTTCGGCCTCTCAATCTGATCACAGCGAAGCAGTTCTGTGTGCCTGCTACATCCTGGGCACCAGCCTGGGTTTCTTGGTGGTGCTGAGGTCCGCGTTGCTCAGCGCATTCTTCACTGCAATGTTCCGAGCTACCTGTGGAAGGTGAGGGAGATTCTAAACTATCAAAGAACAGGTTGCTCTGGCAAAGGAATTTTACGAACGGACGGGTGGAGACGTCTCGTGGATAAAGCCATGGCTCTGAATTTTGGATCTCCTCGGCCCTCGGCTTGAAACTAGGAGAAGAGCTCATTAAGTATTCTTGGTATGAGTACCTGCCATTTCCAAATACTTTCTGCGGATCCCTGGCGGCATTTGCCTGCAGCAGACATCGACCCGCTCTAGCCCGTGTGAAAGGGCGATTCGTTGTACCGATTGAACTCCGTCTCAGCTACAGTACACCCTTGCCTTCTCCGCAGCAGCTTCCTGGAGCCTGCTTCCACTCACTATCACGCCAACGATTCTACCGAACATGCTGCTTTTGAACAAGATGCAAGCACACTGCTTGCGGTGCTTTGGCAGAGGCCTCTCTTGCTTATCGCCGCCTCGGTCTTCCTGCGCCATGCATGACACAGCGCTCACTACGGGTGTTTGGGGCATCGATACCATGAGCTGATTTACTCATATAAGAAGTCTTGAGCCGAACTCCGTTTACTGTATGTAATACTGCATGTAATGCCGGTATCCTGGATGCACATCCAAACGAGAGGTTATCGACTTCTGGAGAAACACTCACGCAACATGATTGTAGGAATCCTCCAGCTTGGCATCCGCAAACGGGTCACGCATGTCGCGTTCCCGCGTGGCGGCGCGCACCTGGCATGGCAAGTCACAGTTGGCACGTGGCAGACATACCGCTGATAAGCACGAAAGGGTGCATGCCAAGTACAGGTCAGCAAGGGTCAGCATCTCGTCTCGTATTTTTGAGCGGAGTAAGAACTTGACCATAAGGTTACTTGCGTGAACCAATGATGCACGTGAACATGCCAGGAGCACGTTCCTTGACTGCCTGGGACCTGCCAGAATTCATTGGCAGGTGCATACGCTTGAATGTCATGCTACAGCTGCACAAGCACTGCACACGTCCCACCGGCCTTGCGCACCCAAAGTACCTTCGCTCAGCCGGACCTGCGCCGCTCGGGACTCAAAGCTTTCAAAACTCCTATTCTTGAGCCTGGTCTCGGTCGGGCAAAGGGCTGGTCGACCTCAGCTTCTGTAGAGTTTAAGCCAGCTTAAGCCTCTCCATTCTTAAAGCCTTCAACATAGCAGGTGCTCCAGGGCTCTCGCCGAAGGGAGACTCCAGAGTTTCGGTGCCAAGTTGCCTACGGGCTGTGTTGTTTCTTTCGACTTCCAAAAACAGGAGCGCGGCGGCACATCCGGCGACGCCTCTCGCTCTGCATTGGGAGCCTGTGCCTCGCTTAAGGTCAGGGCCGTTCGAAGGTTGACAATTTTATACCCAACCAACTAGGCCCCTGACAGCGCAAGGGCTACTGGATCGCAGTGGCCTAACATGCATCATGCCCAACAGACGCGAATCTGCACTAGCTTGCCCACCTGTCGCTCCTCTCTCCTTCGCATGATTGCTGTTGTGCTTGACGCGTGGCGCTGCTTACCCTCCTCCCTCAGTCCGTGACATCTGCACCCTGAGACTCTATGCTTGCACTTAGGCAATAGTTTGCAAGACCACCAGTGTCGGTTTCGAGGGCTTTTGCTCGGACTATTCAAGAACAGGCAAATTCAACCCTCTCTCGTGTACTCGCAGGACTGTTCAACCCCGTCTCGAGTTGTCCCAGGCGGTCGCAGGGATGCCATTGCAGATGCTAGCATTCACTCTGCCGTCCTGCCAAGGTAGATGTCGGACTTGGTGCGGCCTGGCACACGCTGAAAACACTGAATGCATGTGCAACTTTCAGGGAAGAACACTTTTTGCAGGCCTTTACGGTGACGGACCACCGAAGCAGAACATCCTTCACCGCTTCTCGCACTGCACGAACCTTAGTGCAGTGCTTTCAACCTTTGGGACAACCGACATCGACATCGTGACAGCACCTTGTCCTCTCGAAGACCTTCCATCATGGCGGAAAGCCTCTTCTGCAGGGGCGTCGGGCGCATTGACCTCACGCCAGAATCATCGATGGGCGACAGCGGCACGATCAAGATCAAGGTTGCTGACGGGCTTGAAGGCGTAGAGATTTGTAGCGACGAACCAAGCTCTGCATGGTCGCCGATGGCTTGCAACACTTCCACGGCCTGCAGACATATCAGCGGATGTCAAGACTCAGTCAATGCATGGGCCTACGGTAGCGCATCAAAGCGAACCTGCTTCCGAGTCTGCCAGTCTGACGTCGAGTTCAGACAAATCTCCAAGCCTAGCCATGCAAAGATTCTCTTCGACGCTCAATTCTACCCATGATGGCGCTGCGCAACAAGTCACTTTGGTGCAGGGCAGGGCATCAGGGATGGCAGAACTTCATCAAAGTCAGTGAGGTTGACAGCCTGGCGGGAAGCAGGGCTTCGAGCCACAAGAAATCAAGCAAAGATGAAGCAGAAATGCCTGCATTACGTGAATGCAGGCGCTCAGAAGCTGCGGCCGTGCCATGGCCAGCGGCAAGCTGAGATGTTGAACCTGACCGAGTAAAGGCAGTGCTTTGCACCAATTTGTGTCTTCAATACCCGTGGCTCTGACCAGTCGTGCACAAAGCCGTCCCAAGTTCTCGTTTAAAACAGCCGGCGGAGATCCCTGGCAGACAAATCGTACAAAACTTCAGCGTCATGTCAGAAGACCCTGGCTGCCGGCCTGGATTACGGCACATATGCAAGATGCTGCCCCGATCTGTACCTGCAAGCCCACGACATCCCCACAGCATCTGAGCATCCCGAACAGCTTTGGCCGGGGGCTGACCCACTTGTTGTGCTCGGTCAGAGAAGCAAAGAGTGGTTTCAGCAGAGTCGCGAAGACCGGGGACCCATCAGCCTGGCAGAAGCTGCTAGATGCCAGGATATGCCAAGAACCTCGTGAACATGAACAACCCTGCGAGGATTGAGCATGGGTTCTTTGGGGCTAGTTACACTGCAAAAATCACGAGCCAGTGGCACATCCACAACGAGCGCCCGCGTGAGTCTAAATACCTGCATGTCCCAGAGTTTGGAAAATTGCCACTTGGGAGAAAGACGAACCTGTGACCAGATACCGGATCCCGAAACTATTTCCGCCAAGCTGATTCCAGCGACTCGCCGTCCGCCGGACCTTTATACTTATAATTATTTTCAGCAAGGCGAGCCATCTCGCACCGTCTCAGCACAAGCTTCCCGTAGGTGAAGGTCCGCATCCTGCACTTCTCATCAGTTCCACGAAGAAAGAGGTTCCGGAATTCTAGAAGCGAGCCTGCAACCGAGTCAGGACAACCTGAAGCATGCGCTGAAGGAGAGGTATGACCTCAGCAAGTCGCTTTGCAGCGATCGTGCGTGCCTCGACCCGACAGCTGGGCTCGGCACACCATCTCCATGGAGCTCCGCCAGCAGGCCCAGCAGCTTTACACCTGGAGGATCCTAGACTCCTAGACTTCACCCCTCTTGTTTGGCTAGACTGCCAGCCCGGCTCTCGCAGCGACCCAGCGGCTTCAAATTTGTGCCAGCCTGAGCAAACGCTCGAGGCCTGAGTTTTCTGGCGCTGCCGCGGATGCCAGCGGGCCTCTCCGATTGAAGTAATGACCATTGGAAACCTGAGGCACACTTTCGGCTTTGACCAGTCTCCGCCCCAACAACCAAGGCCCTAGCCAATCGGGGTAAAGGGTTTGAAGAAACCTTATTAAGCGGCAGAATGTGCAGGAACAGGCAGTGGACCGCCGACAGCTGTGGGCAGGGCTCTCTGATCTCTTCGATACCGGCCCGCTGCGTGTCCTACCACACAAGCTTCCGCCCATCATAGCGTGGTGCGGCTTGCAACATGTTGCTGGCATTCTCTGTCTTCGCACCCCGCCGAATCTCTGACGGCCTAACAATACTTTGCTCCCTCGGCGAAGACAGGTGGAGAGCCCTCGACCTACCCTGGCACAGTCCCTGCATGTCAATGTCAGCCTGCCTGATCATTGAGACGGCTGAGAGCAAAGTCCAGCTTCGTCTTGAGTTCAGCCAAGGCCTGGAAAGCTCTGCCACGCGCAAGCTGTGCACATGCACATGTCAAGACTCCACCGCTAAGTCTGCTTGCCAGCCAGGCATGACATGTCGACCACGCAGAACTCTAGACCCACCTCCTTGCTCTCACGACTGCCATATCGAGAAGCAGCCGTTGGCCTTCGGAAGAGCTTCTGCATGCTCGATACTCGACATGCGGTTCAATTTGTCACTGAGGCTCCCAGCGCCGCCCCTGTGGGAGATAACACCATCTCTTATGCACAAGGGCCTCAGTGAAGTGTCGCTCTCAAAAGATGCAGTAGCTGCATTCTGGTGTCTCACCTCGAGCCTAGGTCCTCCACGCGGACGGGGAGATCCACATGACATACGTGTTGCGTATACTGCAGTTACATAGTGTGGTTGACTTACTCGCTTGTTCCGGACAACCCGAAAGTATCTCAGGCTTCGCAGAGGCAAGTTTTGGCTTGACACTGGGAACTGCCTTCATGAGTTGTCTTCTAAGCAGCCTCTGCCCGTGGAACCGGCAGACGGCAGATATCGGCAGATGTATGACTGGATCGCATGAGCGCCCTTTTGAAGCAGGAAGCTGCCCAAAGCGGAGGAAAGCTTAGGCGGTGCTGCTTCTGCTGTCTGACACACATCGCGCACATCGCATCACAGCAGCAAGGTTTTGATTTTCACGACTCACTAAACTGCGCGGCCAGCTCTGTCGAAGTCTCCTGAAATGTGTGTTTCGGGCTTCGTTCCAAGTCACAGTGCTGCGCATTCTGGATCCATCTCGAGGTGGATTAGGGCTGTGCCACGATTTCATCAGCTCGATCTGCCAGACATCCAGTCAGGTAGCCTTGTCAGAAACCCGATGCCACCGGGGCAGCATTCTCCTTGTTCATGTTCTTGTTGGGCCCAAGAGGAAAGGAGGAGCTTCAGTCCACCATATCTCACTCCAAGTCCTGGAGCCGGGATGTGGGATTACAAACTGAGTCTACTTGCACAGCCAGAACGACCAGAACGGCGAAGAGATCGTTGTTCAACCGAGGCGCACGAGGGCGAACTGGCTCCACACAAGCTCCCTCTCTTGCCAGGCACACACTGGCAACAGCGTGACCTCTGCCACAAGCTTCGATCAAGGCCTGCAAGAGCGAGGGGCTCACATGGTGACACATGCAGCAAAGATACCATAAGCTAACTGCACCGTCCTGCCTTGTGTTCTGCATCTGTGTTCGGTGCCGCCGATTGTGCCAGCCACGAAGACAAAAAGCCTGCTATGAAGGCATCGCCACAACCTGTAGCATCCACTATTCCTCAGCTGTCAAGTCCCTGTGGGAAAAACTAAACAGAACTTGTTGCGAGAACTTAGACTCAAGATCAGCAATGCTCTGCTTGATCTGCGCAACAGGATTGATGCTTGGCTTTGAAGATTGCCGTCGAGTTGCGAACGGCTGGCTTTGTAGGCACGTAGATCGCGTGCATGCCATGCCGATAGACGGTGCAACCATGTTCTCCTTGAGTGACCACCTCAAATGATTTCATTGACATCGGAACAATTACGGAAGTATCCGGGCTTCCCGTGCCTCTACTGATAGCTGGCCCTCGGTTTGCGTTTGTGCCCGAGGATCTGGCAACCGTCGTGTTTGGAAACCGTTTGCACCTTAGTTGGGTACGAGCGCCTCTGGGACCTCGCGACATGAAACTCTCCAGGCCAGGGCGAGGCGCAAAGCATGGATAGAGCGGTCTCCCTCGTGACACAGTGCAGAACACAAGTGCTCGCCTTCCGAAATGTTCACCTAAGCAGATCATCGTGAACGAGGATCGCTTGGGACCGGAAGTGATAAGACTTGTTTCTGCGTTGCAGCTCCAGCTGCGAAGAGCAAGTCCACAGACGGTAGGAACTCCTCCAAATGGTTGCCCTCCCCACACCAGTGCCCTGCGGCATCACACCTGGAGCGCAAAAGCAGCAAGTCCAAAAAGTCCTCCATTTCTGCCACAGCCCTGCGAAGCTTGCTCGAGTCGCTTGACTGTAAGAGCAGTGCTGCGTGTTCATGGAGATGGTCATGCTCAAACGGCTCTTCAGGCTGCGAACGAACTCCGTGAAATCTCGGCTCTGCAGACCTCGTGGGCGCTGCTACGCCAGCCGTACCCCGAGGGCAAGGGTAGACTCAATCCTTGTCGGTATCCACACTTCCCCAACTTGCGAACGTGCCATCTCAAGCTCTGCAGCCTTTCATGTTGAAGTAGCCACCGAGGTGAAAGTGAGTGCATCCGTCTAAATGATCCGCCTGCAAGCACATGTCAAGTTGGGTGCTGCAGCTCCAGTATTCAGTCCTCTGCACCCGACCTGTTCCTGGAGGTCCCGCGTTGTGAAGGCGTCGGTCGTAGAATAGCATGAGACGAAAGCGCGGTCAGATGGTCCAGACAGGACCATGCACACCGAAGATGGCAGGTTGCTGAACATCTTGATCGTCTCTGTGGGGAAACCCTGTCCAGCTACTTGCTGCACCAACGACTGTCCGAGGGTGTCGTTGCCGACCTCCATCAACAGACATGCCTTGTGGCGGCAAAATTCATGAGAGCAGCTTCTCCTGAGACCAAGGCCGCCCCAAAAAATCGCACCCGAGTTCCGAGAGCGTGAAGATGACGCCCCTGGTTCAAGGCGCTTCCCCCTGGGAGCATCTTGACGCTCTCTGCCTCCACGTCAGAGTCCTTAGAACATCGCTTCAGCTAGCCTCTGACAGGTTCAGAGTTGAGAAATCTGACCTCGCGCTTCCGCAACGTAAATCTTTGGAGACTGTTTGGAGCAAGCTTGTGGGTGACATGTGCGACGTATCCGTCAATAACTCAGATTCCCGCCCACATGGGAAGCTTCTTCACAGGTGCCACGATGTCGATGAAGATATCTCCAGTCATTGCAACACAGGATGGTCGCTGCTGACAAGAAGTTGTCCTTAGCCATGTCTGAGAACAGAAAGCACGGCAAGTTAAGGCTTAAGGCAGCTGAAGGTCTTGGAGGGCAAGCTCTTGGAAGGTCGGTGCTTGTCCTGAGATGGAAACGACCACAAACGATCCTGTTCAGATGTGGTGCAAATCCCTCATATCCCTCCACGGCACCCGAAGCAGGCACTCGGTGCTCAAGAAGACAGCGGACGCCCTCGCCAGCTGGCTGGTCCATGTGGTGCAGCGCCGCATGCCCTCTTGAGAGCTCGACTTAGTCCATCTAATCTATCCTGGAAAAAGCACATGCTTCAACCACGCGATGATAGTATAACTTCAGCAAGACAGCCTCAGCACGATCAAGACTTACATGCAGGGATATGCAGGGTTACCACTCGATGCGAAAGGGCTGCAAGCAGGTGATGTTTTCTCGGGTAATTGCCTTGCGCAATGCCATGCCCTTCCTCTTTCGACATGCTGCGGAGAAACGGCGACTCAATGCTAATGTTTGTTCTTCCACGGCTCGGTTGTACTGACACTCCCACAGCGCCGGGACACGGCACTTTGTCGGGATGCAGCCTGCAGCTCAGTGGCAAGCTTGTGCCGAGCACGATGTGGAAGAATGCAACAGCAACAGCCGACGACCTGCAAGTACAGTTTCGAGATCCAGCTCGCCAGCGGGAGGACGAGAAAGCTCGACGAGACTTGAGCAGTACACGAACGTATTGAGTAACATCTCCGTGGTTGGCTGCCATTCTCGGGTTTAAGATCATTTCCTGGGGACACAAGTAGTTCTACAAAACCCTTCAAAGTCAGGCTCGCACACCTCAAACGGTTGAAGCTGGGGCTGCGGTCCCAAATGTAAAGTTGGGACTCTCAGGTGTTAGGACTGGACGTAGCATGATTGGAGGGAGCAGAACCCTCGGAGACACTTGGAGAGAGTGTTTGCAAGAGGTCGCGCAAAGAGCTGGCTGTGCAGAGCAAGGAAGGCTGCAGTGACGGCCTTGCTGTCAGCCAAGCAAAGCAAGCTTCTCGATGTCCCTCAGACACTTCCTCAACACATCTTGCTTGTGCGTCAGACACGTCTGAGCTCCCGCAATGCTACAGCCACGGCAGAAAAATCTAAGACCTCTGCCTTCGCAACTCTGGCGCCGTGGCACGAAGCGGGTCTGCCAGGGTGTCGAGCTTCTGCAGCCGCCATCTTCGGATTGCACGGCTCCTGCACGGCAGCGCCACGAAGCGGACAGGCTGTTGAAGAGCATCGCAAACGCCAAGAACAGAGACCCGTGACTGCATTGATTCGTGACCTGCACGCATGCACTCGCCTGGGCTCTTGGAGCGGTAGGTCCGTGATGTCCAGCGGCAATCTTAGCCCTCAGTTCCGAGTTGACCCCTGTGAAGCTTTTCAAGGCACGGTATCTGTATCTGAGCTGCCAGGACTAGTCTCCTTTGTCAACGTCATGCTAGCCGGACAAGGATATGGCAGCCGCAGTGATTTTGATACCGAAGCTGACGGAGTGACGGAGCACCGACGAACCAAACACAGTTGAAGCAGCAACAAGATAGTATCCGAAACACATCCTGCAATGGCGGCTGCAACCAGGAACTTCCTAGCAGATTTTACTTGCAGCATGTTGAAGCAATGCGGCTCCAGCTCTCGTCCAATCTCGATTCTCGTCGATGAAGTCTGAAGTCTGAAAGACATGGGCACCCGGGACTTAAGCCAGCAACGTTGCTTGTAAAGCTCTGTCATTTCGACCTCATGCCTTTCAAGCCTCAGCAGGGACGAGTTTGTGAGCATCGTCGGCCGCACGACTGCCAACTCAGCACGCCACTTTGAGCGAAAGTTCATGTGCCGGCAGCCAGCTGTCAAGTCCGCTTGGCGGACCTCTTTAGCCAGCCTCATGTCAAACACGCAGTGCTAGTGCGCACGCACACACACACACACACTCTGTCTCTCTCCATCTACCTATCTCTCTCTCACACACACATTGCACCGAGATTGAGGTTCTTGTGAATCCAATGTGTCGATCAAGTCAAGATTAGACAAGCAAAGTCGTGGGCTTGCTGAGTCTTTCTGCAGTGTCTGGCTCATCTGTGTCCTGAGAAGTGATTCGACACCGACCGTCCCTGGAGCGTTTGATGCATCGAGTGCAGCGCCAGGCGGAAAGGACGCTGCTTGGGTCCTGAGAATTGCGGTTTCACACCTGGTCAGCCGATCTCTGCACTGGCATGCAGTCCTTCACCAATCGTCCCCCTTGCCCCACGCTGCACGCCTTCGACGAGCTCAGCACTGCCCTCAGCCAGTCTCTGAGTTGAAGTGCACCTTCTTCAGTCTGGTCTTCTTCGATGGGTCCACCTAGAAGTGCATCTCGACATAGCTTCAATGCCTGCAACTCACTGGAGGAGCAACTGGGCCATGGTCATTGGAAGAACTGAGTTCGCAGCTTTGCGCTCCGCTTCTTTATCCTTAAAGCGACCTGACTTCATCATCGAAGCACTCACGGCGATTGGCCACTGGTTTGCGCGCCGGCAAGAAAACACGCCCGAACACCCCACTTCATTCACTTCATCTCTGACTCAGGCAATGCAGACCTACTCTTGGGCTGCAGAATCTTCCTGTCATCAGATCTCGTCCTTAAGACTGCAGCACGTAGGGGTAGAGCTCCTCCTTCAGGTTTCCTGGCTCTGCATGCCGTAGGATCAGTTCCGTGGCTTGGAGGATGCCGCTTCCCAGAAAAGGCCCCTTCCTGACCGTCAGTAGCTCCGATCACTTCTTGCTGGCGCTCACATAAGCTCACATAAGCTCACATCCTGTCTTCCTTCAGGGTAAATGGGTACATCACCTCCTCCAGGCTGAGGCCTTCGGGTGGTGCTGTCGGTATCTGACGACGGTCAGCTGACTCCAAGCCCGAAGCTTCCAATCGACCCTTGCCAACTTCAACAAGTCCACCGACAAGCCGCCGAACCATCTTGTACAAAAAGCGCTCCGACGTCGCTCGAATGAGAATCTTATCAGGCCCATCTACTTGCAGAGAAATATCAACCGTTTTCACCGTGGGTCCGTGGTAGTCAGGATCATTCTCGCCCGTGCTAAATGCAGAATAATCCATCTCTTTTCCGCTCAGCTCATCGATCGCCTTCTGCATGGCGTCCAGGTTCAAATCGCCGCAAATCCAGCATCGTCGCGCTTCAAAGGGCATTACCAAGCTTGCCGTCGAGAGTCTGTAAGAATACTGTTTCTTCGCTGCGCTAAGTCGAGAATGGAAGCCACTGGGCGCCAAGCCAAGTTCCAAGGCCAAAATTGCCTTTGGAAGCGTCAGTCTCAGGCGACGCAGGGCTGCTGCAGCATCTAGCCGACTGTTGCTGTTGGCCCACAGCGACGGCGCCTCAAAGTGGCAGACTTGACCTCGGGGTATGCACATCAGGCATAACGGAGAGAAAAGCACACACAACCGCATCGAGAAGGAAGGCAAAGAGCCAGCCTTGCGCATGTACGCCACTGTCTGTGCGAGATGCGCCCACGGTGCGAATGCTGCTCCGAAACACCAGCGCGAGTGCCTTGTCGACCTCCCCTTGCAGAGTTGGTTCAGAGGCGTTTCAACATGTTCAACAGACCAGGTCGAAAATATACTCGACAAAAAACTTGCACAAACTCGGTTGGTCAGGCCTTGAATCGTCCGCACTTCCTGCAGGGCTCAAATGCCATAGTATTGAGACATATACACGTGATTACACGTGCGTGGCCTGTGTAGCACCTTAAGTCCCCATAGGACCTCAGACTGCTTCTGCCACCCAGCGTAGTCTGTGCCGTCGTAGGCCAGCCGAAGCCACCAAAGCTCCACGGAAGACGCGTGGGATGTCTGTTCTGGCATGTCCGGACTTGTGTCCATCGCTGGAGGTCGAAGGGCCTTTATTCTGGCGGCTCCGACCCAGCAAGCGCAGCCACAGACATTGCAGCTCGCAGCAAGCGTGTCCGGGCCCCAGTCTGCCAGGCATCGGCGCTGGCCATGGCCATCCGGCATTCTGCGGCTACGGCTGTCTTTTCCTGGAAGCCCCACAACCTTCTTTTCGAACACCACACTTGCTGCCGTTCACTTCATTGGAAATAGAGGACGCACGTGCCGTCAAACTTGTGTATCTGAGGGACCTGCGCAGTGTCACCTTCTTCGCTGCCAGGTCTCGCAGCAATTGGCTTCCAGAAGTGGCCTGGCCCGAAGCAACCTGTTACAGAGAAGCTGCACGATGAATGCCAAAAGAATCCAAAAGAGCTCTGACGAGACACGTCACCTTGTTGGCCTCTGGCATGGCGTGGACATGCACGGGCAAACTGAAGTGCAGCAAGTCTTACTTGCAGGCTCTTGAAAGCTGTCCGCTCCTGTCGGTGTGTCTCCGCTTGTCCCTATGCCTGGGAGCTCGATGGGCTCGGCATGGCCATGGCATGCCATGGCTCAGGCCTTGAGCCTGGAGCGACCAGAGTCGAGCAGGAGTTCTGCTTTTGAAGGACTTGCGGATACTCGCGGATACTTGCGAGGCGCCCCAGCCTTTCTTCGAGTCCCAGCCAGAGGGTAAACGAAATTAAGTTAGGTCGTTAACACTGCCTCGAGTCTTTGGAGGCCTACGGTTGGCAAGGGTGCCAGGGTATTCACCTCAGCTACGAAGAAGATCCTCTAGAGCTTCTGATCCCGGATTCCCAAAGGTCAGCCTGACAAGTGAGCGAGACTGGCCATGCCCTACAAGATCTTTCGCTCTTTGGGCTCGGACTTCTGCAGGCTGGAGGGAAAGTCCGATTGAAGACTTGACCTGAGGAGCTCAGAACCATAGGCCTCATAGGCTTCACAGGCCTCATGGGCCTGAGACTGCGAGGAGGCCCCTCTGACGAGTCCCCAGCTGAAGCGCTCGCAGGTCGGCCTGCGGGCACAAGGCCGTATTGGTCTCGTCTCTTAAGCATTTCCTGCTGCATGGTGGAGCAAGGGTGACATGCTCCTCGCCTATCAATGGACAAAGACAGCAGTACTACTATAATGGCGACAATGACGGTCAGCAGTGGCGACAACAACACGGATGACGGTGATGGACTGTCACACCATCACAATTAACCACCATGCAGTAGTGATTCAAACGAGCAACATATTGACGATGGTGATGTCATGCAAAAGCCTGAAACGGTGGCAGCATTAGTAGGGGCCACTGATTCACAGCGACAACCAGTTGCCAAGACCTGAAAGAGACGGCTTTGCATTGATGATGCCTCGTTGGCTTGAGCGCTTTCAGGTCGAACGACCTCTGCGAAGTGCCGAACAGCCGTGCTGGCAGAGACAGGTACCCTCCGCCTCTAACGACGACTGCAGCCTGAACGTTGGAGAATTGCGATGGTGAGTTAACGCCAGGTATCACAAACGGAAAACACTGAGTCGGCATCCATCGACGTCGATTTTCAAGCCACAAACGCCTGCACCATGCAAAGACTGAGAACATCAGCATGTTGGAAGCGGTCGGCATGCACCTGTTGGTACACAGGACCATTTGCCAGCTGTCTAGCACCAAACGCTTGGTGCATGTCTGCCACTCCGAAGTTCGCTGCCTTCCGCCAGGGGGTCTGCCCATCTGCCGTGATCAAGACGGAAGCTGCGACTGAGATGCGGGCTGCTCGATCACATGAGCACGGCGCTTTCCTAAGCCCACAGCCTTGCGTCCGCGCTTTCAGGATCCTCGCGCTAGGACCCGCACTGCGCTCACGCTTGCGCGCCACCTCGGAGTTCTCTGTGCCAGGAGAGCCGTCTGCCGATCTGAATGCCGCTTGAGAGGCTCGTGTCTCCTGCGCAGCTGCCCTCCAAGCGAACCACACAAGAGCTATGTGACCTCAAGTGGCGCAAAAACTAGGTCGAACAAGAGCAAGGCTCTGAAGTTTGGCCCTCCTATCTCAGTCACCGGCAATTTCGTCGCTGGCGAGCATTCGCATACAAGCTCCTGCACACTGATGGGTTGCGATGTGGTACGGCATCACATCTTTATTTCATTTCTGAAGGTGCGTCACCTCTCAATCCAACTGTCGCGCACAAGCGATTCCAATCTTTGTTGGGCTTCTGGTCCATTTTGCACCTGTCAGACCAAGGCCAAGGTCACGTCTGTGTGTCTGTGAAATATCCAAGGGCCCAGCTTCACTGCTGGATAGCTCAAGGGGAGCCTGTGTCTTTAGAGGGTGTGCGCACTCTGTGAAAAAAGAGCTTGCGAATCTCTCAAGGAGCCTCCGCTTTCGCGAAGCGGATTTCCTGCCGACGTGACACGCAAACAAGTTCTCGGCACAGGCTGCTTGCGTCCGACGTCAAAACGTTTGCAAACACTTGCGTCCTGTGCCCATGCCAGGAAAGCATCCCGCAAATCCTGAACAAGTCAACACCACTCCCAGCTGAGGCATTACGTGCAGCCACGACTTGCTTCTCTGCTTTTGGCCGCCCGCCCCAATCGTATCCGGGATTTTCCGGGCCTCGAAATTTTGCACGGTTGTCATGGACCGATAGGCCCATGACCTGGCGAAATGATTTTCTCAAGATTCTCAGACAGAACGTGTAACGTTTGAGTCTGCATGAAATCGTGGAGCTGCCGTAGACACGAGAGTTGCCACGTGATCCGTTGGTGGTGCCGCCGGGCCGCCTGTTCCTTCCAAAGCACGATACTACCTGCTGGCTAGTAGAACAAACTGTGTCGAGTTGATTCGATTTGACAGATAGCGAAGCACAAACAAAGAAGCCGTCGTGCTAGGACAGTGACCGGAATCATGGTCCAACAGGAACCCAGCATCATGACGCTGAGAGGTTGCAAGGCAGCTCCTCGTCATTCCACTGCTCGCAGACCTTTGGGCTCGGGCTCGCTGCAGCTCGGCACCAGCACATGCTGTGCCTCTGAGATTCAGACAAGTTTCACCTCATCCCTTACTTGATCAGCTTGATGTGACCTGCACAGCCAGGACAACAGACGGCGTCGTCCAGGGGTCGCAAGTTTCAGAATCACACAACAGAAACAAGCATCGCCTCCGCCATGCAGAGAAAGCATCGTGAAGCAGGCACTGAACATGGCCTGATCCAGAAAAGACACAGAAAGTAAAGTGCAACAAGGGTGTAGAACTGCTCCAGTGCCTGCTGCCAGCCGAGCCCAAAGAGTTTCTTGAAGCTGCTCCTGACAACTGAGATTGAAAGGAGACTCATGTCACATGTCCCTCGTCTACCTTCACACAACGCGATGGGCTACATTGGGTTGAAGCCTCAGGATTTGGATTTTGTGTTCGATCTGAGGGTCAACGGCTGTCAGTCAAGCGGTTGGGTCCTTCGGGTGTCCCAGGGTACTAACTCCGCTTTGAATGTCTGTGGCAAGCCTGCTATGTTGTAATTTCATACACCTTTGATTTCAGTGCTGCCCTTTAAGCTGTTCCTCGAAGTCTATGCCTTTCCTTTCAGGATTTAATGCTAACAGCACTACTGCTGAGTCACGGTCTTAACAGCATGTCTCCGCCGCACGAAAGCGTCCGTGACTCTATCCATGGCATGGTTTATGAGAAATTTCATGCACTGGACTGGTATACACTCATCATACTTCAACAACCGTTACGGTTTAAACCACTTGCCGTCCGGCCGTGTATTGCAGAAGGCTCTGACATCGTGCTATCTCGTGCCATCATGGTGGTCAACGGTCTTACCAAAATATACATGAGAGATGGAGTGAGTGAGAGAGAGCGGAGACAGAGAGAGAGAGAGAGAGAGTGAATGACTTGTGCCAGATCTGCACATTCCGCGTCCCGGGTGCGGGGAGTAACGGGAACCGCTTTGGGGAGCAACAGAAACCGATCCCGCACAGCCGCGGTAACAGCAACCAGGCGACAGAGACCGCCAAGACAGGAACTGCCATCGGAAACCAGCAGGGCCTGGGCAGACTATTATGCCCGCAAAGTAGGGGACCGAAAACCGGTCCCTGACGGGCAGACCTGAAGTAGATAGGAATACATGAAGATATCGATGCATTGGGACAGGCCCGCGCACACAGGCACACACATGCGTGTGCTGATACATGGACACTCAGCGGGAACACACAACCAATCTTGCTCGTGCTTCTCAGATGCAGGCACAAGCTGGCAGACAGGCAGGAAGGGTGACAGTCGAAGCAGTGTTGGCATTTGATGTAGTTTCATAGGTTCAAAGTGATGCATGAAAGGTTGAATCAATTGTAGATAAGTTCATGTGTGCGTATATGTTTGTCAACCAGGTGAAGTCCCTAAACCCCTAAATCCTAAACCACAACCCTCATCCCTCGACCCTAAACCCTGCACCCTGTGTAACCCTAAACTCCAACACTTCGAAGCCAAAACCCAGGTTCCTACAAGGGCCTGCCCCGAGGCTGTTACGGGAACCATATGGTTTGCGTGACGATCCCGGCCTGTTCTTGTAACAAGTTCCTGTTACAGTCAGCGTGTTCGTGTTACGGAAAATAACCCATCGCGCATAAACGGTAAAAGGTGTTATTCTGCATCGTACTGCGCAGTGATATATAGTGTGCTAGATAGCATAATACTGCAATGTAGGAAGGGGGGTTTCGCGAGACTCTCTGCACAGAACTGCGTCGCGTGGTGATGCGCTGTCTCGTCTATGAAGGTACTGTCTCAGGATCTGGTGTGTTCTATTCTGTTGCATAGTCTGCAGCATATTATGTATGCCAGCATGTCCAGATGAATGCGTACGCGCATCGGGTGAGGGTTGTAACGGGAACCAGCGTGCGACGTAACGAGAACCACAACTCAGGAACTGGTCAGAACGTAGCAGAAACCAGGGGGACATGTAAAGGGAACTGGGTTGGGAGTTGCAACGGAAACCCGGACAACGAAACCGAAACCGGATTTTGGGCTGAGACCTTAAGTTACAGTGTTTACTCTTAGAAAGCCCTTCTTCGAACTCCTCTATCTTGTCAAGCCCTTCAAAGCCCTTAAATAGCCCGGAAGCCTTTCATAAGCTTTTATAAGCCTTCCGAAACCCTAAAAGCCCTTGCGAGTACAAGCCTAGCAAAACCCTTTAAGCTTACACAGGCACCCTTGTAAGCACTTTAGAAGCCCTTTAAACACATTACGAGACCTGGTAAGAAAGCCTCAGAAGCCCTGCAAAACCCTTCAGAAACCCCAAGCTCTTATATACGCTTTAGAAGCCCAAACCGTAGACCTTTAAACCTCAACGCTAAACCCTCAACCCTCACCCTAAGACACATACCTTACTCTCCTCTTCCTGTCCCTTTACTCTTCCTCTCCTCTTCCCTCTCCTCTGCCTCTCCTCTCCCCTTAACTGCTAAACTCTCAACCCTAAACCCAGAAATCCACGCCCCCTTCAAAACTCATCGACCCGAAATTTAAAAAAGACTTTATCATGCAAGCTCTACTTTCCCTCGGTTCCCACACTCCTCCCCAGAACCCCTCTCCCCTACACCCCAAACCCTATACTCTATACACGAAACCCGAACCCACCCCGAACCCTAAGCCCTTAACCTTTGGAAACACTGCTTTTATGACGAGTTCACTCGGAATCTTCATAAAACCACGCTTGCGTGTTGAGAGGCAGCCTAGGCAGCCTCCCCCCAGTGTCTGCTACAGCGGGCCCGGCTTCTGCAACACGTTCGAGCCAGTTCCTGAAACAAAGTTTCCTGTTACAACCCCCTGGATCAGGTTACAACGTTTACTCTTTGTGCATCCATTCGTCTATCCATCGACCTTTGCATACATACATACACACGTACATACAGACATGCATGCATGCATGCATGCATGCATGCATGCATGCATGCATGCATGCATGCATACATACATGCAGGCATACATACATACATGCACACACACATACACACATACCCACATACGTACACACATACC